AACAATCAAAACAGTACTAGTACTGGTATATAAACAGACATGTAGTTGAATTGAACAGAACAGTGAGCCCAGATATAAACTCACACTTATATGGCCAATTAATATTTGACAAAGGATGCAAGAACAAAGAAAGGGATAAAGGTGGTCTACTCAACAGCTGGTGCTGTGAGAATTGGCAAATAAGTAAATATAGACCACCGTTTACATTATATGCAAGAATAAACTCAAAATAAAGACTTAAATGTAAGCCTCAAAAACAATAAAAATCATAGAAGTAAACATATAGCAATTTTTCCCCCTGATACATCTCCTTGGGCAAGGAAATCAAAATAAAAAATAAACCAAAAGTACTACATCAAACTAAAGAGTTTTTGCACAGCACAGGAAACCATCAACAAAATGAAAAGATAACCATTGAATGGCAAATGTATTAGCTAATAATACATCTGATAAGAGGTTAATATCCAAAATTTATAAAGAACTCATCCCATTCAACATAAAATCCAATTAAAAAATTGAATAGTGGACCTGAATAGACCCTTCTCCAAAGAGAACATATAGATGGCCAATAGAAATATGAAGAGATGCTCAGTCACTGATGGTCTGAGAAATGCAAATTAAAACCACAATGAGATATTACCTTACACCTGTCAGGAAGGCTGTCATCAATATATCAACAAACAACAAGTGTTGGTGAGGATGTGGTGAAAACGGAACCCTAGCGCACTGTTGGTGGGAGTACAGATTGGTGCAGACACTATGGAAAACAGTATGGAGGTAACTGAAATAATTAAAAATCAAACTGCCTCATGACCCAGCAATTCCACTACTGGGTATTTATCTAAAAAACCCCAAAACACTAATTTGAAAGAATATGTGCACCCCTTTATTGCAGCATTATTTACAATAGCCAAGTATGAAAGCAACCTAAGTGTCCATAAATCGATCAGTGAAATCTATTGTATGTTTGTACAATATTTTATCCACTGATCGATTTATGGACACTTAGGTTGCTTTCATACTTGGCTCTTATAAAATTACTTGACCATAGAAAATAACAAAATCCGACCTGGCCAGTTTGGCTCAGCAGTTAGAGCGTTGGCCTGTGGTCCAGAGAGACCCAGGTTTGGTTCCCGCTAAGGGCGTGTACCTTGGTTGTAGTTTGTCCCTGGCCCTGGTTGGGTGTGCAGGTGGCAACCACTCAATGTGTCCCTTTCACATTGATGTTTCTCTCTCTCCCTCTCTCTCCCCCTCCCACTCTATCTGAACAAAAAATGGAAAAATGTCCTCCAGTGAGGATAAAAACCAAAAAAACAAAATCTTACCATTTACAACAACATGAATGGACCTAGAGAGTATTATGCTCATTGAACTAAGTCAGTCAGAGAAAGACAAATTTATGTTTTTGCTTATATGTGAAATGTAAAGAACAAAATAAACAAACAAAATTGAAACAGACTCATAGAAACAGAGCTGATTGATGGTTACCAGAGGGGAAGGGTTTGGGAGGAGTAGGTGAAAGAGGTGAAGTGATTAAGAAGTACAAATTGGGGCCTGAACCCCGCAGGGCCGGGAGGCACCCAGCTTCCGTGTGTGTGTGTGTGTGTGGGGGGGGGGGGGGGCGGGGCACCCAGCTCCCACGCGGGGAGGAGGCCGAGGCCGCAGCTTGAGGGAGGCCTCAGGCCCTCAGCACCTGTGTCTGGCAGAGCCGGTTTGAGACCAAGAGACGATCCTTCCCTGACGGCGGGTTAATCAAGAGTTTTGGCCGGACCTTTGAGCACACACCGAGATAGCGAGGAGCCAGAGACGCAAAGCACAGGCTATGGAGCTGAAACGGATTAATAAGGAATTTAGTGATTGGACCCTCCAGCACAATGTTCTGCAGGTCCAGTTGGGGATGATATGTTTCATTGGCAAGCCACAATTATGGGCCCTAATGACAGCCCATATCAAGGCGGTGTATTCTTTTGGACAATTCATTTTCCTACAGACTACCCCTTCAAACCACCTAAGGTTGCATTTACAACAAGAATTTATCATCCAAATATTAACAGTAATGGCAGCATTTGTCTCGATATTCTAAGATCACAGTGGTCTCCTGCATTAACTGTTTCTAAAGTTCTTTTATCTATTTGTTCATTGCTATGTGATCCAAACCCAGGTGACCCCCTAGTGCCAGAGATTGCACGGATCTATAAAACAGACAGAGATAAGTACAACAGAATATCTCAGGAATGGACTCAGAAGTATGCCATATGATGCTACCTTAAAGTCAGAATAACCTGCATTATAGCTGGAATAAATGTTAAATTACTGTTCCTCTTTTGATTTTCTTATCTGGCTGCTCCCCTATCAGACCTCATCTTTTTTTATTTTTTGTTTACCTCCCTTCATTCATTTACATGCTCATCTGAGAAGACTTGTTCTTCCAGCTTTGGACAATAACTGCTTTTAGAAACTGTAAAGTAGTTACAAGAGAACAGTTGCCCAAGACTCAGAATTTTTAAAAAATGGAGCATGTGTATCATGTGGCCAATGTCTTCACTCTAACTTGGTTATGAGACTAAAACCATTCCTCACTGCTCTAACATGCTGAAGAAATCATCTGAGGGGGAGGGAGATGGATGCTCAGTTGTCGCATCAAAGGAAACAGCATTATTCTAGCTGCATCTATTCTTCTTTAAGCCTTCCACCATTAGAGATCTGAGGTTACATGATATACTTTATGCTCATAACTGATGTGGCTGGAGAATTGGTATTGAATTTATAGCATCAGCAAAATAGAAAATGTGATGTATTTTATGCATGTCAATAAAGGAATGACCTGTTCTTGTCTACAGAGAATAGAAATTGGAAGTCAAACACCCTTTATATTCCAAAATAGGGTCTCAAACATTTTGTAATTTTTATTTAAATTGTTAGGAGGCTTGGAGCTATTAGTTAATCTATCTTCCAATACACTGTTTAATATAGCACTGAATAAATGATGCAAGTTGTCAATGGATGAGTGATCAACTAATAGCTCTGCTAGTAATTGATTTATTTTTCTTCAATAAAGTTGCGTAAACCAATGACTTAGCTGCCTGGATTAAGCAGTATGGGAAACAATCTTTTGTAAATGCAGAGCTGTTTTTTGTATATACTGTTGGGATTTGCTTCATTGTTTGACATCAAATGATGATGTAAAGTTCAAAAGCGTGAATATTTTGCCATGTTCAGTTAAAAGTGCACAGTCTGTTATAGGTTGACACATTGATTAACCTGATTTATGCAGAATTAATAAGCTATTCAGATAGTGTAGCTTTAGTATGCTGCACACGATCCTGGAAACCCTGGAGTTCATAGATGGACTTGGGACCCAGCAGTTTTGAACATGTATATGGAGTTTAAGAAATTTATTTTCCAGGTGCAACCCCCATCTAAGTAAATTTTTTCTTCACCTTGTACACTTGACAGCTAACAAAAAACATAACATGAAAGTAATAATGGGTTTAAATTTACAAAATAAAGTACTGTTTGGTGTGGGAGTTGTCATAAGGCTGTGTTGAAGTGACTTAACTATGTGGGATATTGAGTATCCATTGAAATGGGTTTGTTCAGCTATTTACATTAATGAGCATTTAAATGCAACAGATAGCATTTCAGGTGACTTAACATGAATGAATAAAAGTCAACGCTATTGGAAAAAAAAGAAGTACAAATTGGACCTTGGCCAGTTGCTCAGCGGTTAGAGCATCAGCACATAGATCAAAGGGTCCTGGGTTTAATTACCGATCAAGGGCACATACCTGGGTTGCAGGTCCAATCCCAGCCCATGGAGGGGTTGTGGGGAAGACAACCAATTATTGTATCTCTCTTATATCCATGTTTCTCTCCCTTTCTCCCCCCCCACCCCTTCCACTCTATTTAAAAAAATATATCCTTGGGTGAGGATTAACAACAACAACAAAAGTACAAACTGGTAGTTACAAAATAGTCATGGAGATATACAGCATAGGGAATATAGTCAATAATATTGTGATAACTTTGTATGGTGCCAGTTGGGTACTGGAAATATTGAGAGGAACAGTGTATAAATTATATTATTTTCTAACCACTAAGCTGTACACTAAGACCAATAAAAAATAAAATTGAAAGTAAACTGCAAGGAAAAATAGAATAAAAAGTACAATCAAATAAAAATAAATAATATGTTTTTTAGGAAGGCATATACTCTTCTCACATCCTGTGCATTTTCGGCAAACCAGACCCACCCCCTGCCCCAATTCTCTGATCCATGATCTGGCTAATTTCTGTTTATCTTTTTTAGGGGCAGCTCTGTTGACCAATAACACCTCTAAGACACATATACTTCAGGTGCTCCTTCTGTGTTTATAGCACCAAACTGCACTGATCTGTTGCTTTAATTTGTAATTTATACTCTAGATTGTTAGCTCTAATTATTGAGCCATCTTTGTGGACCTAGAATTGAGCATATTGGTTGGTAAGAAGTATGTGGCAATTAAAAAAATAAATGAAATACTGAATGACTGAGAACATGGTAATATTTTACACTGTCTAATATCTGATATCAGTTAAATACCAATACTTAACTCCTTTATGTGTGGCTTGCAGATGCATATGTTTGATTTTAGGGTTTGAGGAAGCATTGTGGGGTCCATGGGAGCCTATGAAGTTTCATCATTGCACTTAACGATTAATCTACATACAACTAATGAGTTTTAGCATCTCTTCTCATTGAAGTGGCTGGGAAAGAGAAGTCATACATAGCATTCTTATGTAGAAAGAAGCAAACCCTGAGTTTGATAGAACTATCAAGGGCAAAGCAATTTTTTTATGTGCACATGAGTTAGAGCTTTGTACAGACTATCTATACCCACATTTCCATCCTATAACCATTGAGATGTTTTTATAAAACATCACTGAGTTCTTTTGGAGCCAGATGTTGTTATATTGTGGGTGACCCTAAATTTTCTTTGTATTTTTTCTCATCGTTGCAGATCTACACATATGTCTTTGCAAACATCAAGGCTGTTCGACTGGAAGCACTGCTCTTATCCTTGCTGAGCATCGTGGTGCTTGTTATGGTGAAAGAATTAAATGAACAGTTTAAAAAGAAAATCAAAGTTGTTCTTCCTGTGGATTTAGTTTTGGTGAGTACAAAATCAACGTTTATCATTCTGACCTGCAATGTTTTACAGTTGTTGGGGTAACCTGCTGAAGTTCACTATATTTTATAATAATTCACAGCTACTCCTGTCTCTTGTTAAAATACGTCTAATTTGTGTGGTTGTATATTAATGTAAGAACAGAAAACATTTGAAGTCAATAATTTAAAAAAGGAAACACACAAGTTTTCAGTTGTTACAGAATTTTTCATATTCTTGTAATTTTTTTTAAGTAAATAAAATAACACATATCCTAAGATTTTGAATAAGGAGACATATCTAGAAAGGGCAAGATGGCTGTGGTGTAACAGGAGGCTATGTGCCCATGCTCCCGGCCAGGGATGGGATTTACAGCTAAAATAGTGCCCAGTCAGCTTGAAAAAATGAGAGAAGTGTAGCTGATCGGACACTGAAGAAACTACGTAGAGACTTGTAAGACAAGGGGAGTATGGAAAAGGGGAGTTCCCTTGGAGCTGGTGCTTGGCTGAGAGGCCATCTATGGCAAACCTAAAGCCAGCATCATACTCAATGGCAAAAACTAAAAACATGTCTCTTAAGAAAGGGAGAAGACAGGGATGTCCACTTTCACCACTCTTATTCAACATAGTATTGGAAGTCCGAGCCATAGTGATCAGACAGAAAGAAAAAATAAAAGGTATCAAAATTGGAAAGGAGGGATTAATATTGTCATTATTCACAGAAGACATGATATTGCACACAGAAAACTCTACAGAATCTACCAAAAAGCTATTAGAGTTAATAAATGAATTGAACAAATTTGTAGGATACAAATTAATATCCAGAAATTGATGCCATTTTTATACACTGATAGGGATCTCTCTAAAAGAGAAGCTAGAAAACAATACCTTTTACCATTGCACAAAAGTAATAAGATGCCTAAGAATAAACTTAACCAAAGATGAAAAAGATCCATACTTGGAAAATTATATAACATTGAACAAAGAAACAGAGGAAGATACAAAGAAGTGGAAGCATATTCCATGTTCATAGATTGGAAGAATTAAAATAATTAAAGTGTCCATAGTACCCAAAGCTGTCTACAGATTCAATGCAATCCCTATTAAAATACTAGTGATATATTTCACAGATGTAGAACAAATACTCCAAAATTTACATGGAACCAAAAAGACCCTGAATAGCAGCAGCAATCTTGAGAATGAAGAACAAAGTCGGAAGGATCACAATACTGGATCTCAAATTATATTACAAAGCCATTATAATCAAAACAGCATATTACTGGCACAAGAACAGGCATATAGATCAATAGAAGAGAACAGAAAACCCAGAAATCGACCCATGCCATTGTGGTCAATTAATAGTTGGCAAAGGAGGCAAGAGTATATAATGGAGTTAACACAGTCTCTTCAATAAATGTGTTGGGAAAATTGGACAGGTATATACAAAACTAATTAAATTAGACCCCCACTGACACCATACATAAGAATAAACTCAAAATGGACAAAAGACTTAATTATAAGTTGTGAAACCATAAGAATCGTAGAAGAAAACATAGGCAGCAAAATTTTAGACATGTCCCGCAGCAGAATTTTCATAGATACATCTCTTAGGGCAAGAGAAGCAAAGGAAAAATAATGACATAGGTCTACATCAAACTAAAATGCTTCTGGACAGCAAAAGAAACTATCCTCAAAATGCAAAGGAAACCTACTGTATGGTAGAACATGTTTGCCAATGATACATATACAACTCAATAAAGGCAGACAAATCCAATTAAAAATGGGCAAAGGACCTAAATAGACACTTATCAAAGAGGACATACAGAAGGCTAAGAGATGTGTGAAAAGTACACAAAGTCACTAAATAATCAGAGAAATGCAAATTAAAACAACAATGAGACATCACCTCATACTTGCTGGAATGGCTACCATCAAGAAATCAACAAACTATAAATGCTGACGAGGTTGTGGAGAAGAGGGAACCCTAGTACACAGCTAGAGGGAATGCAGACTGGTGCAGCCACTATGTAAAACGGTATGGAGTTTTCTTAAAAAATTAAAAATTGAACTGCTGTTGGACCCAGTGATTACACTTCTAGGAATATATCCTAAAAATCCCCAAACACTAATCAGAAAGAATATATGACCCCCCTATGTTCACAGCAGTGCTATTTATAATAGCTGAGATCTGGAAACAGCCCAAGTGCTCATCAATAGATGAGTGGATAAAACAAACAAACAAACAAACAAACAAATGGTGGTACATATATACAATGGGATACTATACAGCTGTGAAAAAGAAGGATCTCTAACCATTTGAGATAGCATGGAGGGAACTATAGAGCATTATCCTAAGTGAAATAAGCCAGTCAGAGAAAGACAATTATCACATAGTATCTCTTGTATTTGGATTCTGATGAACAAAATAAATTGACGAACAAATATATCCAGAGGCATGGGAGCATGGCACAGACTATCAGATCTCAGAGGGAAGCGGTGAAGTGGGGCAAGAAGAACTTATGTGCATATATGCATAGCCCATGGACACAGTCAATGGTGTGGTGAAGGCCTGGAGTGAGGTGGGAACCAGGTGGAGGGAAGCAATGAGGGAAAAATGGGGGACATGCATCTCTAATACTCTCAACAATAAAGATACATTTAAAAAAAGAAAGAAAAAATAGATAAGTTGGACTTAAAATTTAAAACTTTATTCTGAAAACAATAGCATCAAGAAAAGTAAAGATAGGTCTTAAAATGAGAGAAAATGATTACAAGCCATATATTTGATAAGGGACTTCTTTCCAGAAAACAGGGTTTGGCAAAAGTAGGTTTACAGTTGTGAGTATGCAAGACACACTTTATTCTTGTATTATTATATATTAATTATTATTTCCATAACAACTGTAAACCTACTTTTGCCAACCCCTTTATAAGGAATTCTTAAAATTTAAGAGTAAAAGATAAGCTCGTCCAGTGTGGTCAAGCCAGGTTTGATTCCCTGTCAGGGCTTGATCCCCAGTAGGGGTGTGCAGGAGGCAGCTAATCGATATTTCTACCTCTCTTTCCCTTCCCCTCTCTCTAAAAATCAGTAAAAAATTTTTTATAAAGGAAAACATTTAATCAATAAATGTGATAAAATTACATTTTAAAAAAAGAGTAAAGAACAAATTTAAAAATGGGCCAAGGGTTTAAATAAACATTGCTCCAAGATAAATATAAAAACAGCCAATAAGTGCATGAAACAATTTTTTAAATGCATTTTATTAAAATTTTCAAAAGTATACAAAAGTAGAAAGAATAGTATGTCTTACCCTCATCTGTAGAATAAAGCATTTCCCACCTATTCTTTTTAAAAAAGCATATTATTGCCATTTTCAAAAGCATACAAAAGTAGAGAATAGTCTAAAAACTGCCATTAACCACCTTTAGTGCTTATCAACATATGTACAATCTTTCTTCTATTCATGCCCAATTTCCCCTACCTTCTCCCTCTTGATTTATTTACTTGAAACAAATCCCAGACATCATATTATTTCAGTTGTAACTTCTTCAGTATTTAAAAAATTTTTTTTCTTTATTGATTTTAGAGAGAGAATAAGGGAGAGGGAGAGAGAGATAGAACATCAGTGAGAGAGAGAACATCGATTGGCTGCCTCCTACATGGCCCCCACTGGGGATTGGGCCCACAACCTGGGCATGTGTCCTGATCAGGAATTGAACTGGCGACCTCTTTGTGCATGAGTTGATGCTCAACCACTGAGCCACACCAGCTGGGCACTTCTTCAGTATTTTAAATCAATTCCTTAAAATCATCAAATAAAAATACTCAGATTTCTCTGTCTCATCAAATCTTATATATATATATATTTAAAAAAATCATAGTCCAGATAAGATTTATTTATGATATTGTATTTGTTTTATATATTCACAGATTCCTCTATTTCTTTTTTGTCTCTTGTGCAGATTATTTGTTGAAGAAACCACATTCTTTGTCCTGTAGTTTTCTATATTATAGATTTTTCAGATTATATCCTTGTGATGTTGTTCAACTTGTTAGGTCTAAAAGCTTGATTGGATTTAGATAATTTTTTTTGTAAGAGTACACTTCCCATGGCATCACTGAAACAATTTAAAAGTCATAAGTCATCAGGGAAGTTAAAATGAAAACAGCTATGCGATATCACCTCACAGCACTAGAACGGCTATATTTAAAATGATGGATGATAGTAAGTGTTAGTAAGGATGTGGAGAAATTGGAATCCTTGTTTATTGCTGGAGGGAATGTAAAATGGTGCAGTCACTTGGGGAAACACCTTGACAGTTCCTCAAAATAATAAGCATGTAACTGCAATGTGATCCAGCAATTCCAAATCCTAGGTTTATACCCCAAAGAAATTAGAACATACCTCCACACAAAAACTTGTACATGAATGTTCATAGAAACATCACTTATACTACCCCAAAAGTAGAAATAACTCAAATGTCCATCAACTGACAAATCAAAATACAAAATGTGATATATCACATGAAAATCACATTTTTATATCACAATAAAAAATGAAATATTAATACATGCTACAGCATGGATAAACTTTGAAAACCTTATGCTAAATGAAAGAAGCCTATCCCAAAAGATCACATATTATATGATTATTTTTATATTAAATTCTCAGAATGAAGAAATCTATAAAGACAGAAAATAGATTAATGATTGTCTAGGGCTAATGGGGGAAGGGGATGGTGGAAGAGAATAGGGCGTAATGAGTGTGGGGTTCTTTATTGTGGACAAAATGAGATGGTAGTGATGCTGGTAAAACTCTGTGAGTATACTAAAAACTAAAACACATTTAATTGTAAACGTTAGATGTACCCCATCCAGGGATCAAACCCACAACCTGGGTATGTGCCCTGACCAGGAATGGAACTCATGAGGTTCTGGTGCATGGACGACGCTCCAACCAACTGAGCCACACCGGCTAGGGCAGATTGCTTAATTTTAATATTGGCTGTATGTACTGAACATCATGTATGTTGTCATTTTCCATATTCAGTATCTTGTGGCAATAGTATATTTCTTTTACAGTTCACAATATTTTCTGACCTGATATAAATATTTCATAAAAATGATTAGCAATTAAATTGACTGTCTTATAAATTTTTAATATGGTAACTTTTGAATATGTTAATACTAACCTTAAATTTTCAACTGCTACTATCTCATTTAGAAAATACTACTATATTACAATATTTATATATTTTAACAGTATAACCTGCAAAGTTTTGTTAGATTTTAAAAAAATGTTCAAGGGTGTTTTTTAAAAAAATCTATTTGATGTTTTAGAAACCTCTGTTAATTCAGTTAAATATTACAAATGAAAAAGCAAACAAATATCTGATAGAATACTATTATTGAGCATTAATTTTAAATATTGATTATTTTGCTAGCATGATTTTTGTTGCTACTTTTCTGGCCATGAATATTGCAAATTTTTACTTTAAGTAGATAATCAGTGTATCCCTTTTTAACAAAAAAGTAGTATATAAACAATTCTAAACTGTTACCAAAGTGACACCATAACCATGAGAAATTTCTAGTGCTTATTAAAATTATTAGGAGGGTGAAACAGGATTGTGAAAGTAGGTGCAAAACATTGGGGTGCCAGGGCTGATAAAACAAAGGCTACACTGGGTTCTGAACATGCATTTAAAGGGGATAATGGATATGGGCAGAAAACACATGACCTTGCTTGTCACATCCTATATCCCCTATGGTATATTATAGAATGGAGTGTAGGGCCCCTGAAACTTTGGGAAACATACTTTACTTCAAGAAATAGTAAAAGCTCAACATTTAAAAATACTCAGATTATAAATCATTATTGATTATTAATCTATATTAGGAATATCACTGCATTATCTCAAAACATGCTATTTTATAAAGCATCCCTTCATGTCACAAGAGACGAATGGTAAGGTTGGACTGTGGTATTTGTGCACACACACACACACATATACACAACTCCTACAATCTGTTTTTCTCCCCTTCAAAATTAGACATAATTGGGTTTACGTAGAATAGAATATTAAAAATATATATTATTGTAATACCATTTAATTTTTGATCCTGAAAATTAGGTGCTCTAAAATCTCAGAAGGATTTTTTGAATTTTAAAATTTTCTAATTTTGAAAAATCTGTACAACTGCTACATTACTCTTGACAATCATGGAGCACATGAACAATGTTTACTGTTATTTTAATTAATTTATTTAATCCTCACACAAGGACATTTTTGCATTTATCTTCAGATAGAGTGGGAGGGAGAGAAGGAGGAAGAGAGAGAGAGAGAAACATCGATGTGAGAGAGACACATCGAGTGGTTGCCACCCACACGACCCCAACCGGGGCTGGGGACAAACTGCAACCGAGGTATGTGCCCTTAGTGGGAACTGAACTCCGGCCTCTCTGGTCCACCGGCCGATTCTCTAACCGCTGAGCCAAACCGGCCAGGGCACAATGTTTACTTTTAGAAATAGTTTTTAGAAAGGTGTTTGAATGACTAACAATTTTCTTTTTATTTTCAAATGGAACCACACAGGTTATTGCTGCATCACTTGCTTGTTATTATACCAATATGGAAAATACATACGGATTAGAAGTAGTTGGTCATATTCCAAAAGGGTAACGTAGTCTTTTTTTCTTACTTTTTTGTTTGTATGTTTGTTTGTTTTGATGGAGGAAGGGACTGGGGGTCTGTGGTATGGATTTTATTTCTTTCAAAGGACCTGTAATGGACAAAATGCTAATTAATATCTATTTTTAAGTGATAAAAAAAATAATGCATATATAGAGAAAGACTTAGACTGTTTACATATAACTAGAAAAGTTGATAACTGTATTTTAAATTTGTTTTTTATTGTTGACAGTTTCACATGTTCCCCTATTCCCCTCGACTTTGATCCCCTCCATCCAGCCCCCTCCCCACCCCAGACCTTCCCCAAACTATTGTGTGTGTCCATGGGTTATGCATATATGTATATACATTCTTTGGTTAGTCTGTTCCTGTCCCCTCACCCCCCTCCCTCTGAGATCTGTCAGTTGATTATTTTATACAGCATTGCTTCAGGTAAAAGATTTGAAAATGGTTTACAAAAATATAATTTTTTAAAAAATTGAGGGCATTACATTTCCAAATTACAGTCATGCTCTGGGATTTAGTCTTTCCCATGTAATTTACATATTCTTATGACTATTTTTATTTCACTTAAAGCATAGTAATAGTACACAGGTGCTATCGGAAAGAACAAACCCGTAGACCCGGGTGTTGGATAACGGTGAGCAGAAGGATGGAGTGGAGAGAGCATGGTTTCCCTACCGTCTTAAAGCTTTCTTTTGAGCACTAGGAGGAAAGTTAGCAAGAAGAATTCTCTACCTAAAAGGTCAGAAGGTTGTTCCCAACAGAGCTTGAAAGAAAACAAAGGCATCTTTAGGAAGAGGGGAGGGTCTTATGGGTCATTCCCTTTTAATGAGATGTATGCACATAAATATTTATAAACTTGGGGTAAAGTTGGTTGTTGAGTTCTCTATATTTTTATCTTCTAGTCCCAAATTTTGGTTTCTCCTACTTTAAAATGGAGGGAGAATAGAAAGTTTCAGAGATTAAAGACATAAATTTTAAAAACTCTATCTTTAACCTTTATGCAGTTACAGGTTAATGGTGATTATCTGAGTCAATTTGGTTTTTCTAAAAAGTTATCTACTTTTCCACCTTCAAAAGTCAGTTGATTGTTTCTCTCTAGGTCAGTTTATTGGTATTAGTAATTAGGCAAGTGCATTTTGTTCATGAAACCAAAGTTCTTATAGTTTGAAATGGTAGTACTTTTGTATGGCATATATCTTAGAGCCTGTAGTGATACAACTCAATTTGCTTTGGGGGTAAACTTTAATTAGTGGGGAAAAAAATTATGCCTCTTCTCCATCCACACTAATTCTCCCTTATTTTGAGTGAACTTTCCAGACCCAGCCTCCTACGGAACCAACAACAGAATGTGACATTGAGATTAGATGGAGCTGGGGTTACATCTCAGCCCCGCCATTCATGCTGTGAATCGTACATTACCTAACCTTTCTCAGAGTGGATTTTTCTCCACAGTTAATATGAAAGGGCTGAGCATGCTACTTACTAGATATTAAATCAACATGTATTCACTTCCCCTTTTCTTCTTTTGCCCCAGAAGAATTTTGTTTATTTATTTTTTTGAGGGGAGAGACGTCTCCTAAAGCATCATCCAGAATAAATCAGTGATGATACTTGGTTTGGCACAAGTGGTTTTCAAAAAACAGTAAGACAATGGTCAGGTATTAGTGGAAAGAAATATTCTGAATAATTCTTTAAAACTGAGAACTGGTTAACTGTGGTCCTATACTTTGCAACAGAGGGTAGATGTAGCCTTTATACATATTTTTCTTACATATGTTGTTACCAGCGGGATCGGGGGCCAGTTTCCCTCAACACTCGTGGGAGTGAGGTGGCTCTTGAGATATCTTCAGAAAAAAGTTTTCTAAAACTTGCACAGGAGAATGAATGGTCTTTTTTGGTGTGGAGTTATATTTCTGGGATTGTACCATCCCAGTTCCCTATCCCAGTCCTGAACAAGGGGTTCAGTAAAGCAGAAACAGCAGGGCTGGTGTCCAGAGCTTCCCTTCCATGTGGTAGCCAGGTCCAGTATAAAGCATCAGTCTAGATACAGCCCCTTAATCCATTGTGTGGAGTCCACTTGGCTGTGAGCCACATGGTGAGCCCACAAGCTGGGTCTGGTACAGCAGCAAGCGGGGGTGGGGTGGAGGAACAAACTTGGGGATTAAATATTCACGTTTCCCAGCACTTGCAGTGGCCATGCCTATTCTGGCCACTGACTTGCTCCCAGGTGTGACAGACAGATAAGGTAAGCACCTTCCACGTCACTCAGATCTTACTGGGCATGCATGTAAACTGCCTTTGTCCAGTCCCTTCCCCCATCAATTTGCAGGTAACAGAACTGGAGAGTGTTAAATTAGCTGGTGTCCCCTTTACTCCTTTCCTGTTATATAATGACCAGATTATTTCAACGGCATCAATGTGATGCATAGTTAAGTGTGCTGTAAAGGATCGAGTTAAAAACATAATTAAGCTCATGAACTCAATGACAAATTTAAGGATTAACTGAAGAACTGTAGCTCACAGTAAACTAATGTTCTCATACAGCACTATAGTGCTTAAGGCAGGGAATACAGTCTCTAATGCCAGCCAAGTAAATATTTGGAAAGGCTCAAATGAAACAAGGCTCCAAGTGTGCCTTTGTTCTGATACAGAACAATTTTGTTGAGGCAATACCTGTGGTGAACCTGGGTGCAAATGACAGACGTGTAGAGTTGTTCCTCTGGGGTTCCTTGCAATTTTGCTTTTCTGATAAATAATGTTGAAAACAAAGGGCTTCTAAGGTCAAGTCTGCTTGGTTTTTTAATGTGTATTTTACTTATTCTGTGTAAACTTCGGAGTTGTTGCCATAGTTGAATTCATTGCAAGTTGTTACAAAAATTACATGGAAGTTGACGACCTCATTATGGTATTTCTTTCCACAGAATTCCTTCACCTAAAGCTCCCCCAATGAGTGTTCTCTCTGCAGTAATCACAGAAGCATTTGGAGTGGCACTTGTAGGCTATGCGGCCTCACTGGCTCTTGCTCAAGGATCTGCCAAAAAATTTAAATATTCAGTTGATGACAACCAGGTGGAGTATGCTCAGTCAGTCCCTGTCCACAGCTATTGTGTCATTGTGCTATGTCCTCCAAGCTCCTGACAACGTTGATCTTATGAAAACTATAACTTGACTAAATATACAGCAAGAATAGGTAGGACAAAACAAAAGAGAAATCTCTAAGTCATTCATAGCTGAATATCCGTTCTTATGGGTTGGTTTATAATTTTATTTTATTTTTAGAGAGAGGGACTTCTTGATTTTCTTTTTAATTTGCCTTTAGGAGAGAATCTAAATATATTAACATTGAGAACTTGCTTTTTAAAAATATGGATTCTAAAGTACAAATAACACTAGTGTTGCTCTTCTTAGTAAAAAACTAAAGGATGATGTCCCGCCGGTGTGGTTGCCAGTTCAATTCCCAGTCAGGACACATGCCCAGGCTGTGGGCCAGATCCCCAGTGGGGGGCATGCAGGAGGTGGCCAATCAATGTTCTCTCTCATCGATGTTTCTCTCTGCCCCTTCCTCTCTCTCTAAAATCAATAAAAAACAAACAAACAAACAAACAAAACAACTAACAACAAAAGAATAAAGGATGTGAGTGCGTTTTTAGAATGCCAAAGGATGAAGATAATGTTGATCGTATTTCTGAATCTACTTCTTCCTGTTTTAAGCTCTGTGCCCTACATTTCTAAGGTCTGCAGAATACTGGTTACAATGTCAAATTACCCATGTCTAAGTCTCACTCTGACACTGTGTGCCCTTAATTATTTCCATGCCCCAGTCTCGTCGTCTGCATAAAAGCAGATTTATTAATTCAATAGTTGTGTATTGAATCCCCCTAATGTACCAGGCATGGGTCTAAGAACAAAGGATACAACAGTGAACAACACAGACCATATCTTCTCTCAACTCAGAACCTCCCAGAGGTTTTTCCTTGTACTCAGATTAAAAATCTCTTCTCCAAGATTTACAAAGCCCTCCATGACCTGTCACCATCCATGATTTTCTCTGATCTCATATCCCTTTTTATTCGGTGCTAGTCACACTTGCGACCTTCCTTTCCCTTGACCCCACTAGTCAAGATTCTGGCTCAGAACATTTGCACTTGCTCTTCCCTTTTCCAGAAACCGTTCCCCCAGATATCTTCCCGCCTCCCTTATTTAAAGGTTCCCTTCTCAGGGAGGCCTTCATTGGTAAGCTGAAGTCCCAAACTTCAGATTTTTCCACTCCCTCCTCTGCTTTACTTTACATATTCATCTTGCTGATTGTCAGCATTCCCTCTCTAGAATGTCAGTTCTGTAAGGGCGGGGATATTTCTCTGTTTTTTGCTGGTAACGGGAAAAGCAAGAAAAAAAAATTCAGAGGTTTTTACAATAATCTAGGTGAAATTTTTGTTAGCTTGGACCAGGATATAGCAATGGAGGAGATGAGAAGTGGACAGATGCTGACTTGGAGGTAGCTGCTGTTTGGGAAGAAGGGAAGGAGTCAAGATTATGGTCATGTGCTGCTTAATTAGGGGATACATATTCAGAAGTGTGTCGTTAGGCTCTTTGGTCATTTTTCAAATATCACAGATTCTCTTACACAAGCCTAGATGGCATAGCCTACATATATGATGCAGCCTATTGCTTCCAGGCTACAAACCTGTGCAGCGTGTTATTGTCCCAAACAACGTGAGATTAAATCAAGCACAAGAAAAGATAATATAATCAAGAGTCACGGTAAACATGAGGTGCATGAGGCTGTGCTGGTGTAACAGGGCATACTGTTTTACAGAAAAATCCTTTTTAATAATTAAAAGGAGTATAGTTTAAAATAACAATAAAAGGACCCTAGGCTGGGTAGCTCAGCTGGTTAGATCATTGTTACAATACACCAAGGTAGCAGGTTCAGTTCCTGGTCAGAACACCTACAAGAATCAACCAATGAATGCATAAATAAATGAAACAACAAATTGAGCTCTCTTTCTCTCTCTCAAATCAATAAGTAAACACTAAAAAATAATAACCATAAAAGATAGAGTTTAGTAAATACATAAACTACGAACAGTCATTTATTATCATTATCAGCTGTTACATACAGTACCTAACTGTATGTGCTGTACTTTTATATAGAAGGCAGTGCTTTAGGTTTATTTATACCAGCATCACCACACACATGTGAGTAATCTGCTGCACTATAATGTTATAGTGGCTACAGACACCACTCGGTGACAGGAATTTTTCAGCTCTATTATAATCTTATGGGACCACATGTGGTCTTGATACCATTATAATAATCTGGTTATTATTTAGCAGAAAAGGAGTGAAGAGGAGACTGGATAATACAGGCATGCCATTTGTACAGCTTTTCCAGGAAGCTGCAGCTAGCACTCTCCAGGTCTGCTCCCTGCAGATCGCGGGGGAAGGGTCTGGATAACATGGTGGGCTGCTTACCTATCAGTCACAGCTGGGAACAAGTCAGTGGCCAGAATAGGTGTGGCCACTGCAAGGGTGCGAAATTAAAGATATATAATCTTCTGAACAAAAAAAGTTCCCTCTCTTGTCTCTTGGTTCTCCTGACCCTCTTGGGACACCTGTTATAGGGAGAGCATTCCCCTGCATTCACCCACATGGCCTATGGCCATGTGGATGCCACACAATGTACTGATGGACTGAATTTAGCCTGATGCCTGATGCTACATCAAGCTTAACTCCACCATGGAATAAAAACTCTGGACACTGGCCCTGCTTCTGGCTTTGCTGAAACCCCAGCTGCATGTCTTCTAGGACTGAGCTAAGGAAACTCAGACTTTGAAACTCAAGGGATATAACTCCATGGAAATAAAAATCATTCATTCTCCCTTGTGAGTCTTAGAAAATTCTTTTTCTGAAGATATCACAAGAGCCCTACTCCCATTAGCAATGGAGAAACTTGGCCCACTGTTTTTACCCAAAATGTTATTACCCAAAACGTTATTATGAGGTACATGACCATATCTGTAAAGCTTTTGGCCCAAGCATTTGCTGCTTGAGATGGAAAAGAACTTGGGGGGACCAGGTTGGGGGTGGTAGAAAGCAATAGCTGGATTAAGTTTGGGATACCTGTTAGCCATCCAACTGGAGATGACTGAGTCCGAACTTTAGAAGAGTGGTCCAGGCCGGAGATATAAATTTGGGAATTGTCAATATGTATTCGGGTAGCTAAAATAAAGATAGAGAAGCGGTCCAATATTTGTGGTTGGTTAGAAGAGAAGTAACAAGAATAAAAAATTGTGGCCAGGGAGGTCGGAGGAAACCAGGAAGGTGTAAGGTCCTAGAAGAATCTACCACGAGCCTTTAAGAAGGAGGAAGTAAGCAATTGTGTCAAATTCTGCTTTTAAACCAAATAAGGTAGGAATTACCCATTGGATCTAGCATTGTGGAGGGCACAGAGTGGTGGGAACCAAAGCCTTGACTTCAATGATTTAAAAGATAGGGGAGAAACTGGCAACAGAGACATTGACTATCTTGTACTGTCCTACAACGTTGTTATGAGGATTCGATGAGGAAAGTTTCTGGCACATTTTATCACTCAGTAATTGTTTGCTTTTTTCTGTTTCCCCCCAGTGATTAAATTGCAACCAATGGAGAGAACAGAAATAGAATAGAAACAAGTCTTGTTGTTTGACATGTTGTACTTGTGGTCTCTAAAAGCTGATTATTAAGAAATGATATATTCTCATATTATCAATCTTACAGGAATTTTTGGCTCATGGCCTCAGCAATGTGATTTCTTCATTTTTCTTCTGCATACCAAGTGCTGCTGCCATGGGAAGGACCACTGGCCTTTACAGCACAGGAGCGAAGACTCAGGTAACCTCAGTGTCTAGCAGGGATGAAAGACCTGCCTGGCCTTTATTCTCTCCTGGTGGTTAAGAACAAGCTTCTATCTAAAGTACAGTAAACATTTCTACTTCTTCAATTTTTCTATCCCATTTTGAGGAAGTCTGTCTCTTCTCTTTCTTGTGAATGGTCCTTCCAGAAGCCGATGATTCAGTGAGCTGAGTACAAAAAAAAAAAAGAAATACTGAACCAATACTGAGGCTTTCCTGCTGGCAGCCTCTGAGCCGGAGCTTCCTCCAGTGGAGCCTCTGATATTGCGTTTCCGCTAAGCTAACCAGCTTGAAAATTTTCCATTTCTGTTCACTTTCTTTCAATCAAATGAAATCAATTATATGCAAAAATTCATCATTAACAATGAGATTCCTGAATGAATAGATGTACAAGTAGTTAAATGAGTAATATGCTGTTTGTACACATCTGAGGCTTAAAGGAATAATTATATATTTTTTTGAACTCAAGTCAGCTTAACATTTGAGTGCCTCCTCATAGCAAGTATTGTGCTGGTACTGGTAAGATGACAGTGAGGAAAACAAATATAATCTGGGATGATGATCCACAGTGGCATTGTCAGTGGAAACATATTCATTTATGTGCCAGGCATTGCATATCATACTTTTATGTAAATAAACTCATTTAAACCATTTTAGGCAACTCTGAAGGGAGAGAATAATTGTTATTCTTAGTTTCCACATGATACAGTTGAAGAAAAAAGGGTTAAAGTAAATTACCCAGGTCACAGAGCTAATGAGTTGGCAGAGCTGGGATTTTAACCCAGATAGATAGATATACCCCTAATCTTGTACTGTTAACCACAGTTCTATACAAAAAAATTCATGTACATATTAATACAGAAATTAATGTTATCCGCTAAACATTTTTAAAACAATTGGAATTGAATAAGAATTTATAAAAGGTTTTATATGATACTTCAAACATTTTTAGGAGCCTGACTTATAGTAAGTCTTTTTTGGGGGGAGGGGTTTGAAGAATAAATTTGAAAGGGTATGGTTCTTGACTTTGGGGAGCAAAGTGGCAGGAAAAATATGGATAAATAGATATTAAAATATCGCATAAAATTAATAAGAATATATATTTAAAATAATTTTTAAAATTGATTTTAGGGAGAGAGGAAGGAAGAGGGAGAAAGAGAGATAGAAACATTGATGAGAGAACATCGATTGGCTGCCTCCTGCATGCCCCCCACTGGGGATTTGGCCCACCACCTGAGCATGTGCCCTGACTGGGAATAGAACTGGCAACCTCTTGGTGCATGGGTCAACACTCACCCACTGACCCACACTGGCTGGGCTTAATAAGAATATTGATAAATACTAATTAATAGAGCAAAGGAGAAGCAGCAAGAAATTCTGAATGTATGAGAATTTGACAAATAATAATCACAACTCATTTGCTAAAATGTGAAATCCTCCTTCGACCTCATTATATATGAAAATTTAATTGATTTTTATGAAGTTAGTGATTTCAAATATAGGTTCATCATGTGTATTGGCATAAACATTTTTGCAAAACTGTGCTCTTAAATTTTTGTGATCTAAATTTGAATGTTTAATGTATTTATTTATTTATTGAATTTATTGAGATGACATTGTTAACAAAATTATGTAGGATTCAGGTGTTCAATACTATAATAGTTATCTGTATATTGTATTGTGTGTTCAACATCCTGAGTCAAGTCTCCTTTTATCACTGTTTATATCCACTTTTCTTCCCCCTAACCCCTTTTTCTTTCTGGTAATCACCATACTGTAGTCTGTGTCTATGATGTTTTGTTTGTTTGTATGTTTGTTTTGTTTTGCTTAATCCATTCACCATTTTCATCCAGCTCCCAAAGTCCCCTTCTCTCTGACAGCTGTCAGTCTGTTCTCTGTATCTATGAGTATTGATAATTTGTTTGTTAGTTTATTTTGTTCATTAAATTCCACATGTAAGTGAAATCATACGGTATATGTCTTTCTCTGACTGGCTTATTTTATTTAGCATAACACTCTTCATGTCCATCCATGCTGTCACAAAAGGTAAGATATCCTTCTTTTTTACAGCTGAGTAGTATTCCAATGTGTATATGTACCACTGCGTTTTTATCCACTCATCTACTGATGGGCACTTGGGCTGCTTCCAAATCTTGGCTATTGTAAATAACACTGCAATGAACATAGAGGTGCATATATTCTTTCAAATTAGTGTCTCTGGTTTCTTTGGATATATTCCCAGAAGTGGAATCACTTGGTTATAGGCAGCTCCATTTTTAATTTTTTGAGGCAAATCCATAGTGTTTTCCTTAGTGTCTGCACCAATCTGCATTTCCACCAATAGTGCACAAGGGTTTCCTTTTCTTCACACCCTTGCCAACACTTGCTTGTTTATTTGTTGATGACAGCCATTCTGACAAGTGTGAGGTAAAATCTCATTGTGGTTTTAATTTGCTCAGGTATCATCCCTTACTTCAAAGTCTCTTCTATCTAAGAAATTCTTGCATTCTATAGTAGTTTCTACTTGGTTTCTCACAAGGATGTGTATATTAGATTTATTCTCTTCATATTTAGGTTAAATAAGTATAACGAGCAGTTAAGGGCATGGGATTCTAGAGCCTGGACATGTTCTGGTCTTACCATAGTGATTGGGTGACTTTGCACACATAACTTGACCTCTCTAACCTAAGAGGACTCTGCTGTTAAAATAATTTTTAAAACAGTTAAGTGAGTTAATACATTCGTATTTAGTAAAATGTTTAAGTACCAAATAAATGCTCCTTCAGTGTTTGCAATTATCACTGATTTTATTATTATTATTATTATTAGTTTTAATTATAACAAACTATTTTCAGAATATTTTAACATTTAGTATTAAAACATCCTCGTTTGGAGAGGAAAAAATGGCGGCAGAGTGAATGGAAGCTACACAGACCATTTCCCAGGATCTAATTGGAATTACTACTAAAATAAAGACAAATCATTGGGGAAAACCAACTGAAAAGCAACTGGAGAGAATGCTTATAACCAGGTATGAAAAGAGGACACCAAATCAAGCCTGGTAGGAACTCCAGAAGCACAAGAGGGTCGGCTGGGAGCCCATGGACAGCAGCTGAGGGCTGTTTAGCTGTGAGTAGTCCCCTTAGAGAAGTTGGGGGTTAAAACCCTAAGTTGGCTCCACAGCACCTAGTGGCGGCTCCCCAGCAGAGAGGGGTGGCCACCCAGCACAGAATGGAGGGACAGGGGAAGGGGCTTACATAACACCTGGCTCAGATCACCACAGCTGAGGCTTTGTCTGGCAAGGATAGGTGCAGGGAAAAATGGCACCTCCCTGAAGGGCCAGAGCACTAAATCAGTTACAACCACTCACCTTGGGCTCTGGCAGAAGGAGGGTGGACTGGACTGGAACTGATTTAAAAGAGTCAGGGGTTTGTGGCAAAGGGGAGAGATCAGGGAAGGAAGACACTGGGAGTTTTATGCTGAATTACTCCCTCATAGGATAGCAGCCATATTACTCAAAGAGTCCCTTCCCAAAGCCCTGGGAAGAAGCAATGGCCCCTCCCTCAGGAATTTAACACCATCAGGCCTGACCAGAGAAATGCAAACTGAGGCTCATTAACAGCTAGAGATTACCAGCAAGCAAGGGGTGGGGGTGGGGGGAAGCCATTGTCCCACCCTCTGGAAATCTGTTTACCCCATACAGCTGAGGAGTTTTTCATTCAGCTCAGGGCTACAACCTGAGGCTCATCAAGTAACTGAAACTAATAGCCTCCAGGCAAAAGCTAGAGGATAACTAAACCTTTTCTTGGCCTGAAAATCCACCCAGGAAAGTAAGACTTGACAGTAGTATTTAACATGGGTCCTCCCACACTGTGGCTCCCAGTAGAAGGAGCCACAACCAGCAGAACACCAGCACCCACAGAGAAAATTTGGTAGGCTCCAAAACCCACTTAGACAGTCAAAATGATGAAGTAAAAAAACAAATCCCAGATGAAAGAACAAGAGAATTCTACAGGATAAGAGATAAATGAAATTGAATTAAGCAAGATATCAGAGGTAGAGTTCAGAGTAATGATTATGAGGAAGTTCAACAACATGAGTAAAGATATAGAACATTGAAAATCAACAAATTGGAAATAAAAAACCACCAAACGAAAATGAAGAATGACATAGCAGAAATAAATAACACATTGGAAGAAATAACCAGCAGAGTAGAGGAAGCTGAGGTTTGGATCAGTGAATTAGAAGACAGGGCAGAAAAAATAATCCAATCAGAGAACCAAAAAGAAAAAAAAAAAACAATTAAAAAACAGGAAGACAGTTTATGAGAACTATGGAACAACATGAAACATAACAATATCCATATCTTAGGAGTTCCAGAAGAAGAAGAAAATGAGCAAGGGTTAGAGAATGTATTTGACAAAATAGTGACAGAAAACTTCCCTAACTTGGTGAAGGAAAAAGGCATACAGATTTAAGAAGCACAGAGAGCTCCAAGTAAGAAGAACCAAAAGAGGCCCACACCAAGGCACATAAGAATTAAAATGCAAAAAATTAAAGACAAAGAGAGAATCCTAAAGGCAGCAAGAGATAAGCAACAGCTTAGCCACAGTCCCAAATGACAGCTTGCATGTCTGTTTTCTGCAACACTGAGATTGCCTCTGAGTTTTAATTCGCCAAATTGCATTCCTTTATTCTTTCAGAAGTTGCCTTATTGCTTCTGACTTTTTAAAAGCCTTTTTAATCTAGTCTTAGTTACTTGATATCCAGTCTCTTTTTCTTTTTCTGACCTTTCTCATCTCTTTGGCTAATCCACGATTTTCCACAAAACTGCATACTGTGAACTCCGGATCTACTTTCTAGTCTTTGAAAAGGACTGAGAAAGGAAATGAGTGGCATTTTACCCTCCTTCCAGCCATGTATATGTAAGACATGCTTTCAGAGTCATCTTTGTAAGGAGCCAACAACATATATTTGTTTGAAAATGTAACAAGAAGGATTCTGCATACATTGTCCTGTATGCAGAATTAACTGAAATATGAGTAGTTATAATTTTTTTTTGTTAATCCTCAATACTCAGTGGAGAATATTTTCAATTGATATTTTTAGAGAGAGTAGAAGGGAGGAAAGGAGGGAGACACACACACACACACACACACACAGAGAGAGAGAGAGAGAGAGAGAGAGAGAGAGAGAGAGAGAGAGAGAGAAACATTGATGTAAGAGGGACACATTGATTGGTTGCCTCCTGCATGACCCGGACTGGGGCTGGGGCTCAAACCTGCAACCCAGGTACATATCCTTGACTGGGAATTGAAATCTAACCGCTGAGCCAAACCAGCCAGGGCAAATAGTTATCATTTTACAATCAAAATATCTTTAGACATTCAGTTAGTATTGTCAAATAAACTAAAACAGAGCCAGGAGGCTTTGCTAGAAATACATGATAAAGATTTCTTCAAGGTTCTTAGGCTTTGCATATTGGAAACACAACTAGGCAATACCCTAGTGTTCTGAAGAAGAAAGAAAAGCTGAGGGTTCTTGTAGTAAAAAGTACATACTTGAGAAGAATCAGTCCTTCATTCTTAGTCTCTAAATTTGTTCAAGATGGAAATCCTCTAGATTACTGTTGGTGTGGATATAGAGATGAATGTCAGATGGTCTGGATACCTGAACATCCTTTTCTTAGTTCTTCAAGGGTAATCTGAGGGTTATCTGAAGGTTTGATGTATATCTAAGCATTGATGCAGTCTTAAAACAAGAATGGAATCATTTTCTCATATCTTAAATTGCTTGATTTAGTAAATTAGCAGCTTGACTATAATGATTTCATTTTGATTTCTTTACTATATTCCTAAGTATAAAATTGAAAGAGTTGAATAAAAGTAAAATACCTAGAAAATGTTTGTCCTACCCTGGCCGGTTTTTCTCAGTGGTTAGAGTGTTGGCCCATCAAAGGGTCATGGGTTCGATTCTGGTCAAGAACATGTACCTGGGTTTTGGGTTCAATCTCTCCCAGTTGGGGTCGAGTGGGAGGCAACCAATCTGTGTGTCTCTCTCAAATTGATGATCCTCTCTCTTTCTTTTCTTCCCTTTCCTTCTCTATAAAAATCAATGGAAAAACATCTTCGGTAAGGATTAAAAAAAGTATAAAAAAAAGAAAATGTTTGTGCTATGGGTAATTAAGGGTGTGAACATTTTACTAGCTACAAACTAAGCCACCTTGAAATATATAAATCAGGGGGTACTTAGGATCCAATTTTCTAAGTTTTAAGAAAAGATACAACTTTATCTTTCTTGTTATGGTTGCAACTTGCTTTTAAAGTTTTTTCTCTTAGTAGAAAAAATCATGTGCTTATTAAAGGATACTCAATAAGGGGTTAAAACTTGAAAATATAACTCAGTGGGGTTATTTCAGAATCTTGATCTTAGAGAAGTCTATTATAGCACTGCAAATAGCTAATCTTAATTTAATTTATCTTCCCATTTATTGAGTTGTCTATCAATGGAGTGATGGTTTAGACTGCATGATCTCACAAATCTTATACAAACTAAAGTTTAGCATCTGGGTCTCTTATCTGTGGAGACAACAAGTGCAGTACTTTGAGAATTTTGAGAGCAGAAACTATTATATTATTGATTTTCATGCCTGAGCAGTAGATACACTATGCAGAACTGATAAAAATCTCTTGTCCAATTAAATGCACTTGTCTTTTGTCCTGGGGCATCAACAATGATGAGACAAGTACAGTAAAGAAACTGACATTAGCCATTTGCTTATATGTCCTATTTCATTTTATGATTTACCATGTAAGGTAAACAAATAGTCTTTTTCACCCATTATTTATCAGTTTTGTAAGTAAGACCCTTTTAACTCTTGACCTTTTGACAATAGGACTGACACTGTAGGTTAGTAAGTACATTATTGTTGAGATATATATATATATATAAATATAATATAATATATATATATATATAATCTTATAAATATAATATAAGGTAAAAATCATTTAGAGAAAAACCCAAAGGTAGTTATAGTTTACTATTTTGAAATAAGATTATTTAGTTCAGTTGTATTTTCTAGAACAGCTTTGGTGTATTATAAGATACCTCAGGACCTCAAAATATATTTAGGTTTATGGACCATAATTCAGTTTATGATCCATATGCTTTCTTACTCTTTAGTTCTTCTACTTCTGGCAAATCTCTTTGCCACCCTGTGCCTCAGATCCTTTTACAGAGTTTAAGACTCTATCATTCCCATGCTTATATCTGCACCTAAGATTAAAGGTTTTAGTTTCAGGTACATTGTGAGTGTATGATCAAAGAGTTCCACAAAAGGGGTGTATGCCATTGTCTTTCATCATAAAATAAACCTTGGTAGTTGTCCATTTTTTTTTTACATTTTAAAAATTTAAATTAATTAATTTATTTTTGTTACAGATGTCTCTCCTTTTCCCCCCACTGATTCCCCCCTCCCTCCCCACCCTCTCCCCAGCTTTGTTGTCCATGCATACATGCATATAAGTTCTGTGGTTTATCTCCCCCCCCTCCACCAAAATTCCATACACGCAATAATATATTGAATCACTTACTGAGATATCTGAATGAATCCTGTGATTTGCTCTCTTCTGTTTAGTGGAATGACAGGCATCATATTTTGTTTAAAATTTTTTGTCATATAAAATTATCTATTACTCCTAAATGATTAGTTTAATAACAGTTTGGTGTACTATAACTTATTTTATGGACATTCTTTAATTACCTAGTGACTTATTTCCCACAGAAAGATTTCTTTCTCCTTTATATTCTGAGGAGTATTAAAGATGAAGTCTACTAAATAGGAAGGAACTTGTGACTAGCTTCTTTTCCTTAGTTTAATTATTTTGAGTTTCATTTGTACTGTTGCATATATTGATAGTCTGTACTTTTCTATTGCTCAGTAGTATTCTATTGCATGGATATACCGCACATGTTCTATTCACCAATTGGTGGACATTTCAGTTATTTTAAATTGGACATTTCAGTTATGCTGTTTGTTAATAAAGCTTTTGTAAGTATTTACATATAGGTAGTTGCATAAACATTTATTTTTAGCTCTCTTAAATAGTTCTGGGATATATGGTAAGTGTATGTGTAACTTCATAAAAAAACTTCCAAACTGTTTTTTCAGCAATGTTTGAAAACACTAGTTGTTCTGAATCCTTGCCAGCCCTTAATATTGATTGATTACATGTTTATTTATATATTTATTTTTAATGTTAGCCATTGTAATGGAACCTGATCCCTCTGATTTCTTCATAATGTTATTCTAGACATCTCCGCGGTCCCATGAGAGCTCTATTTTTTTTCTCTGAGGCTGACAGTTTATCCAAAAGTTTCTGTTAAGTCATGAACATTTGCTTCTGTGAAATCAAGTTCTCCATCAGGTGGAGCATAACTACGAGTCAAGTTATTTGCAATCCCTTTTGTCAGCAGATTGAGTTGGTTAGAAGATGATACTAATAACTTTTCAAGATCAATAAAAAGTGTCTCTTTCATTGCAGAGACTTCTCCCATAATCCTATATAACTGCTTCTTACTTGGGTCCTTTCTAACAACAACCCCAAGGGAGAGAGTAAATGCTTTAGTGAGAAGTTTTTCATCAGCACAGAAAAACCTTCAACTGCATATTCACTTATTACCCAGACAACTTCCTGTTGAGGGAGTTAAGCTGAAAGACAGTAGGTTAAAGGACTTGTAATTGACATGTTGATTTCACTATTAAACAACAAAAAAGCCATTGTTGTGATGTGTAATGAAAATTGATAATGTCCTATATATATATATTTTAATGGAATTGCTTTTCTGTCATCACTGACTTAATTAGATTGCACCAGTTTGTCAGATGCCACATTCGGGTTCCTTCAGCTGCAAAATATAGATAATAAAAATCTATGTAATTTAATAATCATGTGTCAACATATTGTTTTTTCTAATCAACATGAAATAATAATTATATCCCCCCCTTATAACTTTGGAATTATTAGAAAGTTCAAGGTTTTCTTTTTTATCTGTCTTGTATTTTATAGGTGGCTTGTCTAATATCTTGCATTTTCGTCTTGATAGTCATTTATACAATAGGACCGTTGCTTTACTGGCTGCCAATGGTACAGTAGTGCTTTTTTATGATCTACTTTTTAAGTTTATTTTTAATAAAAAGCATTGTATATAATATTTTTTAAGGAGCAACTTCAATAATCATTAATGATCTATAGATCATTCATGTGACATAAGTAAAGGTTGAAGTGGGTAATATTACATTTGATGGGGGAGGACTAGGAGTTTTTCTAATTTTTAGGCTCTTGTGTAAAAATGCCAGAGTAGAATTAGATTTATTCTGTGCTCATTTGGAGAGTGGAACTAGGCAATCTCTTTCATAAGAAATAGACTGAAATAATTTTATCTCAAATTGTACTGTTAGAAAATGTTTTCTGGGCAAGAAAGTAGGGTACAAAATACATCTTACCACTTTTGACACACCTTTTACGAAGTGCCCCAGAACACTAGTACCAGTGGTTCACTTGCCTTTCATAAGCCTGAAGCACCAAATTACACAAGATTCTGATCTTCAGAGAACCAGACAATAATCAAGTGCACTTAATTTTAGTGAGAGAGGAAAAAAGAGGGAGAGAGAGATAGAAATATTGATGAGCGAGAACATCGACTGGCTACCTCCTGCATGGCCCCCACTGGGGATTGGGTCCCCAACCTGGGCATGTGCCCTGACCAGGAATTGAACCAGTGACCTCTTGGTGCATGGGTTGATGCTCAACCATTGAACCACACCGGCCAAACTCAAGTACACAGTTTAAGAGAGTTATATCTTTAGATGAAACCAGATAATTGATACTCAAGGCAATTATAAAGAAATATATGTGCCCTGGCTGGGTAGCTCAGTTGGTTAGAGCATTGTTCCATATGCCAAGGTTGCCTGTTTGATCCCCAGTCAGGGCACATACAAGAATCAATCAGTGAATGCATAAATAAGTGGAACAAAAAGTTTATGTTTCTCTCTCTCTCTTCCTCCCTTCAATTCTCTTTCTAAAATCAATAAATAAAAAAATTAAGAAAGATATGATATAAATATTTAATTTATGGTGGTTAATAATTATTAATTATTATTAATTAATAATAGTTGTGGTTAATAATTATTATAAAGTTAATCAGTATTATAACATTTACCCTTGTCATTCATTACTTTTCTTTTTCCTTCTTTCTAATTTTTTAGAATGACTTAAATTTTACCCTGTTATTTTCTAGAATTGATATTATATTCTTGAAGTATAATAATAGGTTAGTTCTACACAAAATAAATATTATCTTAGTCTTCTAAATGGTGATTGCTTTTTTCTAGTAAGTACCCTAAGAACAAAGAAAGAAATAAAAATACTTTGGTTCTTTTAAATTTTGATTAAAATATTTATCTTGCTTTTTTCATTAACCTGTTTCTTATTTGTAGTGTGTGCTTGCAAGCATTATTGTCGTGGGTCTGAAGGGAATGCTCATACAGTTTCGGGATTTAAAAAAATATTGGAATGTGGATAAAATCGATTGGGTAAGTAGAAATTAACCTAAGTTTTTCATCTTTGGCTTAGAACATGGAACAAAATAAATTTTAATAGTTTCATTTACAGGAAGTTATTTAAGTCATTTGAGACTTGTACACTTTACAAACTATCATTAATTTCTTTCAAAATTTTAATAATACATTAAAATGTCTTTATAGAAATTGACATAAAATTTTGTCAAAATTTGATTGATGTGTTGTTGGAGAACTTTTAAAGAATGCTAACTAACTTGAGTGGATTAGGGATTTTTGATTTCTGTTATGAATTGATTTTGTCAGTGAAGTTCATCAAGGAAGTACACACTAATAGAAATATGACAATTTATAACATATGAAAAATCAGCATTAATTGCTAAGATATGTATACCACATTAATATAAGGTGAAAATCTTAATAGTGACCATATTCATTCTAAATACAAAAAGTCTCATAAATTGTGTTTTAAATGAGTCACACTGAGAGGATGACTATATTAATAGGATATTGCCAGGAAGAGATATAATTATACTAAACAATGGTAAAGTGTGGCTTCTACTCACATCAATGTTTAACACACTTATTCTAGAGAAATATATCTATGCAAGAACATCCAGAATTTGTTCTCTCTGAAATATGGGTGAAGTATTTCATTATTAGCTATGGTTAGCTCTATTATGACATTCACCATATTGAAATGCAATTATCTATGTATCTCCCCTCATTCAGATTCTTTGTTCTGAGAGATTTGGGGGGATTCCTTATGCTGGTGCCTAATTTCATAATATTCCTCTAAGGCTCGATATCACTGAGCTCCTACTAAAGTATAATGTGGGTGTTATGTGTATTGCATTACACATAATGCAAAGATGAATAAATAATCATTTTCCCTCTCCAGATATTCATATTTGTGCAGACATAGAACAATATGACATATTAGCAAAAGTACAAGCTTAATGCTTTGGAGAAATAGAGAATGGGGCAATTGATTAGGATTGGGTTAATAGAAAAGACTCTTATAGCAGAGCTAAAATTTGAACTAAGACTTGAATGAATAAAATTTTGTAGACAAGCCAAGAGGCGAAAATTAGCCAGGCTAATGGAGGATTGTGACTTTTTAATGGTGATAAATATGAGGTGGCCTATGAAAACAGAAATGAGCAGATGTAAACTTAATTAACAAGCTATTTGATAGTCCTATGATAAAGATATTTCTCTGGAACTCATTAATCACTTAGGAGGGAGCATATTGCCATATTTGAAAGGGGGAGATGTCAGAAGAGGTTTCTTCCAGGAAATTATGGGTAGAATATGTAGTGTGAGGGTGGAAGTAGAAGCTGATGAAGTTGGAAAAGTTAAGAATGGGTTGGACTAGACTTCATCCTAAAGGCAGTGAGACATCCCTGGAAGGGGAAGTAGGGATAAGATTTATTATTAGAACGGTCACTGGTAATTTGAGGAAAATGAATGAAATTGATGTAGTATGCAGCAATTGGAGCACTTTTTAAAAAGTAATTCAGGCCAACAAATGGAAAAGGCTTGAATCAAAACTGAAACCATGAGGTTCAAGAGGAGGGAATAGATTTGAAAAATATTCAAAGAGTTACATTAGTTAATTTTCACTGCCAATTCATCATATAAAGTTCTGATTTAGGTGCATAATGTGAAGATTTGTTCCCAGTTATAACAAATCCTCACACATTACAGGCTCTCTGGTCATCTGACACTTGCTGTCTCCTCTCCATTCATTACCTTGCTAATCTCCATCAGTCTCCTTTGTTAGGAAGCTAGGTTGTAAATGATACAAATGACATTTCACCTTACTGCTCTTCTTTCCATGATATCAATAGATAGCATATGAATACATCTCCTTCTTCTCTGCTGGCCCACCATTGCATAATGGGTCTTATCAGAAAGATTATCATATAGATTTTTCAAAACTGTGATATTCATGGAGAAATCTAAAATGAGTTTAACTCTGATGATACATTTGTTGGCTTCCAGTGACCTCTTTGGTATCTTCCAAATTTCACAGTATTTGGCAAGTCTACACCATATTTTGTAATTAGTGGTTATGACCATATTCTTGTTCCACTGAAGCTGGATTTTCCTCCCTATATATACATTTTTTAAAGTTGTTTTTGGTGAATTTTTAATGGAGGGTAGTGGAGTAAAAATGCTTTAAATATACCACCTAAATCTGATATTTAAATCTATACTTTGGCAGTAGTCTGGCAAATGGTTTACGATGCTGAAAACAAAAGCAGATAGTTAAGTAGGAGGCTCCCGGAATAGTCTAGGGGAGCCAAGTGTGAACTGGAGCATTTTCAGTGAATTGAGAAGAGGATACGGTTGGAAATTTTTTAAATTAATAATTGGTAGAACTTGGGAAATTATTTTACAAGGAGATGTAAAGGTAGTAATTGTGAAATATGACTCCAAGATTTGTGATTTCAGTGTCTTGAAGATTATTAGTGTTATAACTAAAAGAAAACATTGGAGGAAGGGCAGATTTGGTGCTTGAGTTAATGAGTTTGCATTTGGACATAAAAGTTTGAAGGTATTTGGAGGACAGTTTGAGAAAATGGTATAATAGCTTGGTCGTCTCCTGTATAGTTGATAGTTGAAAAGTTGGAGTTAGTAGGCAATGCAGTGTGAAAAAAATCTTTTTGTAAAAGGTGACATGAATATGGCTGATGCTTTATGATTAAATGTGACATTGAGTTTAGCTTGACAGTGGCCTCCAATAGTTGAAGTGGACAGGTATCCATTAGTTGAAAAGGAATGCAACATTGAGAACCTGTGGTTTATCATCATATGATTTGGGCATAGCATCTATACTGAAAATACCGCACAAACTTTTGTAGATATATGGTATATTATTTAGTAGACAGAATATGTCTAGGTCACACAATAAATAGACTAAACCTCAATTATAGAAGTAAAGTTAACAAAGATATCTATGTGTGTGTTTGTGTGTGTGTGCGCGTGCGTTTGTGTAGAAATTGAAGGTTAAATGTTTAAAAAATCAGGTAAGCAGTTATCAAATGAAAAATCATAAATATTTATTTCTTTAAATTTTTTCCAGTTTAACGATTCTACTTTGAGTTATAGATCAAAATTCTCTTTGAGGTAGTGAGATAATATAAATCTAAAATACAGGCCTAACTTAGGGCACAGAACTGTATTTTAGTAACAGGAAAGTGGGGAAAGAAGTCAGACCTTCAGAAATTTGATAATACGAATCAAGCACCAAAACAGATAGGCTAACAGAAGGATCAGGAAGAGGTGAAGTGAGCAAGTAGCAGCTAAACTGTGCTTTATACTGATGAATTTGCTCTAAGGCTCAAGGGTATACATGTTCCCAATTTGAGGTCAGCTTTGGAGTTAGCTTATGTTTAGGGCCTGTGAGTACAAAATAGGAAATGGATCAAGTAAGAACACAATAAAAAAATGTAGGGGCCCAGGAGCTAACCAATTCCTTATTACTGTTGGCAGCCAGCATTTGGACTTATAATAGGAATTGCTACAGAATAGCACTGGGACTTCTCCTGACCAAATCACTGGTCTATGTTATTAATTTCCATTTGATTTGTTTTCTTCAAGCTATAAATGTAGCCCTGGGAAATAACTAAGCATTATAAGTCTGGTTAACAATAGATGATGTTGTGGGAGCAAAAATATGCTTTCAAAATAGAAGCAAATGGTACCCAAATTGTCGGTGCTCTGAAGAACCATGGCCTTCAAGCTCTGTGGTGTTTAGAATGGCAGAGACGCGGGTATTTGGTTTCCTATGCAGTAATAAATTATGCAGGTTGACCAGGAGAAATTAGACTTATAAAGCTTTTGGTGAGGTCTTATTCTTCCACACCTAGCCAGAATAAGTCAGCATTAAGGAATAAGTGAGAAACAGAGCAATCATAGAAATTTAAAGTAATGATCAAAATCTTGCAACTTTATTTTGTATATGATCAAGTATAGTGTAATACATTAGGAAGAAAAAAAACCACTGTATACAAATAAAAGATTCAAATGACTGTCTATTTACCTGAATAAAGAAAAACATTTCAGTGTCTAATCATTAGATTACAGACTGAGGAAGATGTAATAATAAGTGATAACTTATTATATTTCAGGTAATGAATGTTAACATGGGAACACTGAAAATAAATTTTTTCTTTTAGTCCAGAATGTTTGTTTCTTCTACATAAAAAGGAATTTTACAGATGAAAATCCCTTCATTTGCTTCCAAGGGTTTAGCTTTTCAAAATAGGCCATCGTTCAGAAACCATGTAATTTCAGTGTAGATAAATAATACAGAAGAAAAGCATTTCAAGTGAAAAAAAAAAAAAAAACCCCTTTAAAAATATTTATTTCAAAGTTATGCAAAAAAAAAAACAACACCCACACATATCCCCTCAAAAATCTGTGCTATTTTCAGATTAGAGAGAAGTTTCTAATTCTTTCATTTGCATATGGAACTGAATTATGCTGTCAAAGATATTTTAAAATGATAATACAGTTGTTGGAATAGAAAGATAACAACTTAGAATTCTATGCATTAGGTAATGTTATGGAGCTAATTTTGGAAAAAAAGAGAGTTTAAAGATTTTATCAGTTTACTATTTGGTAAATGCTGAATTTTGTATTTATAAAATATATAACCGTGTGGATTCTACAGATTATTTTGCTTTTAAAATATATTTTTTTGCCAGAAATAAACTTAGAAATGCCAATCATAATGCAATGTCTTATTGCAAATTTAATTTTAGGTGGTGGAAAAAAACTGCAATAATTTGGAATTGCAACTAAAGGAGAAATATAATTTTATTGGAATTTTTTGAAATATTCCCAAGAACTAATTTAGCTCTGATGCTTCAGCTTTCACAATTTCACAAAATGTGTCCCCTTGCAAATAAAATGATAACAATCTTTGGAGTGGTTGATCTAAAAGTGCTTTTGGTATGTTATTAGATTCAGTTATTTTAACATTAGGGTTTGAGTTTTGTAGAATAATAAAATACATTAGTCCTTTTTGTAGCAATCCTAGAAAATAGAATATTGTTAGGAATGACCAAAAAGTGGCAAACACTTGCTTGTATTATTATTACATTAAATGAAAAAGCAATGGGAAATTATGGCACACTTTTAAACCATACACATCAGCAAACAATGTACAGATCTTAAATAAAGTGTTTGTTGGGGATTAAACTAAATATTGGCAATATCTAGAAATAAAAGAATGTTTTTTACTCACCTCTGCTACTGAGAGTCTGATGGAGCCTGGATTTGTTTCTGTATTCTTGGGCTCTGTTTATGACATCTTAAATAATATGTTCTTATTGAGAGATTTGGGTACTGGAATGTTGTAGAAGAAAATTGTTAGTAATTTGGCAACCAATAGTGGAAAGAGAATACCAAAGGACCCACATCTCTTTGTTTGTTTCTCTTTCAGGGCATATGGATCAGTACATACGTATTTACAATATGTTTTGCTGCCAATGTGGGACTGCTGTTTGGTGTTGTCTGTACCATAGTTATTGTGATTGGTCGCTTCTCAAGGTAAGATCTTATTTCAGTGTTCTGTTTATTACGACACAGCAGCTAAGTGTATGGTGTTACCAGTTAATTTTATTTCTGTGGACTATATAGTACTACAATCTCATGTTTTATTTTGTATCAGAGAATTGAAGACAAAAAGAAGAGGTTTTATTTACATATAGTATATAATAATGTTGCTCTTAATTAAGATAGTTTGTCAGTACTATAAAATAGAATATACGAATCTATTAAAGTAAATCAAGTAATCTCATTGCCACACACTGTATCACAGAGCTATTTTTAATTAAATGAAGGGGTATAGTATACAATGAGACACAAACCATATAACAATATAATTATTTAGAAAAATAACTTCAAGAAACTTAATTTTTCAGAAGCCGTATTATCTATCTATCCCTATACTTTTCTCTAGGTAATTTATTAAAGAAAATTCTCTCTTTTTGTCTTTTTATTGAACATCTGTGAGAAGTTCTTTTTCTGTTTTTCATCTAAGTTTTGCTCACTTCCTATTCTTCCCTTGAAGTTTTTTGTGTGAAATAATATATTTTTTTTCTATTTTTTTTCAGTTACATTTTACATTTAATAATACATGTATTTTAGTTTCAGGTATACAAAATAGTGGTTAGACAATCATATACTTTACACAGTGTTCCCTCCCAATACTTTCAATACCCACCTGGCACCATACATAGTTATGATAATATTATTGACTATATTCTCTATGCTGTACTTTATGTCTCTGTGATTATTTTAACTACCAGTTATTACTTCTTAATCCCTTTACTTTTTTCACCTAGTCCCCTAACCCTCATTCCCCCTGCAACCATCAATCTATTCTCTGTATTTTACTGCCTATGTATCCATGAGTTTGTTTCTGTTTTGTTTCAGTTATTTAGATTCTACATATAAGTGAAATCATATGGTGTTTACCTTTTACTGCCTGACATATTTTACTTAGATAATACCCTGTAGAGGACATTTCTGTCTTGTTTCTGATCTTAGGGAAAATGCTTTTAGTTTTACCCAATTAAGTAGAATGTTAGCTGTGGGTTTGTCATATATAGCCTTTATTATGTTGAGGTATGTTTCCTGTAATCCCGCTTTGTTGAGAGTTTTTATCATAAATGGGTGTGGATTTTGGCAAATGCTTTGTCTGCATCTATTGATATGACCAAATAATTTTTATCCTTCATTTTTTCAAGGTGGTATATCATTTTAATTGATTTGTCAATGTTGAACCATCCTTACATCCCAGAAACAAATCCCTCTTGATCATAGTACATGATCTTTTTAACGTATTGCTGAATTCAGTTTGCAAATATTTTTGTTGAGGATTTTTGCATCTATGTTTATTAGGTATATTGGCCTATATTTTACTTTCTGTGCAGTGTCTTTATCTGGTTTTGGAATTGGGATAATTCTGACCTCGTAAAATGAGTTTAAGAGTTTTAACTCCTTTTTTATTTTTTGGAGTAGTATGAGAATATCAGGTGTAAGTTCTTCTTTGATTGGTAAAATTTACCAGACTTTTGTATGTTGGGAGTTTTTTTTTTATTACTGCTTTTATTTCGTTGGGCATAATTTGTCTGTTCAGATTTTCTGATGTTACTTGATTCAGTCTTGGGAACTTGTATATTTCATGTATTTATCCATTTTTCCAGATTGCCCAATTTGTTGGCATATGACTGTTTGTAGTGTTTTCTTTTAATCCTTTGTACTTCTGTGACATCAGTTGTTACTTCTCTTTCATTTATTATTATTTATTTGGGTCATCATTCTCTTTCTAATTCTGGTTAAAGGTTCATCAGTTTTGTTTTCTTTCTAAAGAACCAGCTGTTGGTTTTATTGATCTTTTGTATTTTGTTTCTTAGATTCTATTTTATTTATTTCTTCTCTGATCTTAATTATTTCCTTTCTTCTACTAAACTTGGCCTTTGCTGTTTTTTTAGGTGAAAATAGATTATTAATTTGATATTTTCATTGTTTATATAGGTAGACTTTTATTGCAATAAATATCCCTCTTAGAAGTACTTTCACTGTGTCCCATAGATTTTTGGTTGTTTTATTTTTATTCTCATTTGTCTCAAGGTACCCTCTGATTACTACCTTGATCTCATTTTTAACCTATTCATTGTTTAGTAACATGTTATTTAGCCTCCATGTGTTCGTGGGTATTTTAGTTTTTTTCTTGTAATTGATTTCTATTTAATTTCACTCGGGTCAGAGAAGATGCCTGAAATGCTATCAATCTTCTGAGATTTCTTGTGGCTTGTTTTATAGCCTAACATGTGGTCTATCCTGCAAAATGTTTCAGGTGCATTTGAAAAAAAAAATGTGTATCTTGCAGTTTTAGGGTGTATGCTCTGAAAATATCAATTAAAACCCTCTATTCTAATGTGTCATTATAGGTGGCAGTTTCCTTGTTGAGTTTTTGTCTAGATGATCAATCTATTGATATCAATGGTGTATTAATGTCACTTATGAAAGTGTTACTGTTGATCTGTCCCTTTATATCCATAATATTTCCTTTATATATTTAGGTGGTTTTATGTTGAGTGCATAAATGTTTAAAGCTACGGTTCTCAACCTGTGGGTCACGACTCCTTTGGGGGTCAAACAACCCTTTCACAGGGGTCGCCTAAGACATAACAGTAGCAAAATTACAGTTATGAAGTAGCAACAAAAATAATTTTGGGGGTCACCACAACATGAGGAACTGTATTAAAGGGTAGTGGCACTAAGAAGGTTGAGAACCACTGGTTTAAAGGGTTATAATCTCTTGTGTGATTGATCCCTTTATCATTATGTAATGACCTCCTTTGTCTTTTGTTATAGCTTTTGTTTTAAAGAATATTTGGTCTGATATATGTATTGCCACTCTAGCATTTCATGGGTTTTCATTTGCATGAAATACCTTTTATATCTCTTTACTTTCTCTCTCTGTGTGTGTGTGTGTGTGTGTGTGTGTGTGTCTTTCATTCTGAGGTGGGTCTCTTGTAGACAACATATATATGAGTCTTATTTTTCATTTATGAAGCTTCCGTATATCTCTTGATTGAAACATTCAATCCATTTACATGTAAAATGATTATTGATAGAAATGTATTTATTGCCATTTTGTTCTTTATAAGTATGCTCCTACCCCCTTCTTCTTGTATTATTGATTTGGTGTTAATAAACTCCTTTAGTTTTTTTTTTTTTGGTCTGGGAAGTTCTTTATTTCTCTTTCAATTTTTTTTTTTTTGTTCAGATAGAGTGGGGAGGGAGAGAGAGAGAGAGAGAAACATCGACGTGAAAGGTTGCCACCCGCACAACCCAACCAGGGCCAGGGACAAACTGAAACCGAGGTACATGCCCTTAGTGGGAACCGAACCCAGGTCTCTCTGGACCACAGGCCGACGCTCTACCACTGAGCCAAACTGGCCAGCGCTTCTCTTTCAATTTTAAATGATAGCCTTGCTGGGTAGAGCAGTCTTGGTTGTGGGTTGTTACTTTCATCACTTTGAGCATTTTTTGTCAATCTCTTCTGGCCTGAAAATTTTCTGTGGAGAAATAAGCTGACAGTTTATGAGAGCTCCATTGTAGTTTACTATTTTTCTCTTGCACTTTTTAAGAGTCTCTCTTTGTCTTTAAACTTTGGCATTTTGATTATAATGTGTCTTGTTGTGGGTCTCCTTGAGTTCATTTTGCTTAGGACTCTGCACTTTTTGAAGTTGTATGTCTTATTCCTTCACCAGATTTGGAATGTTTTCAGTTATTATTTTTTCAAATATGTTCTCAATACCTTGCATTCACTCTCTTCTCATTTTTGTACCCCTATGATGCAGATGTTGCCACACTTCATATTGTCCTATAGTCCCTTAAGTTGTATTAATTTTTAAAAGTTATTTTTGCTGCTTTGATTGGGTGTTTTCTACTCCCTTGTCTTCTATATTATTGATTTGATTCTTTGCTTTATCTAATCTGCTGTTGATTCTTTCTACTATCTTCTTTTTAATGATCAAATTTTTCATTTGTGACTGCTTTCTTTAGGCAGAGAAGTCAAGAAAAATTATTTTTGAAAATATATTGCAATGTGATATATATATATAATTTTTCCATCAACATTTATCCCCTTGATGCCCTCTTCCTCTTCCATCTCCATCCCTCCCTACCCTGCCATCACTATACGGTTGTCCATGTCTATGAGTTCTTTCTCTCTCTCTCTTTTTGTTTATGGTTTTATGTTCTTTTAAATGCTAGCTATCTCTTTGCTAAAGTTTTCACTAAGTTTTTTGAGCATCCTTATAAACATTATTTTGAATTCTGTGTTTGATAGATAGCTTGTGTCCATTTTATTTAGTTCTTTATTAGGGTATTTCTCCTATTCTTTTATTTGGGACATGTTTCTTTGTCTCCTATTTTGCTGCCTCTTTGTATTTTTTTCAGTATATTAGGTAGATTTTCTATGTCTCCCACTCTTAGTATAGTAGCCTTATGTAGTAGGTGTCTCATGGGGCTCAGTAGTGTACTCTTCCTGATCACCTGAGCTGGGGTTCTCCAGCAATGTCACTTGTATGGTTATGGGAGCCCTCCCATTGTAGTTGAGCCTTGATTATTGTTAGTTCATTCATGGGTTGAGTTCACCCTCAGGCTGGTTATAAAGATTGACGTCATCCACAGTTTTTGAGCTGCTGTGTGGGGACTGACCTTCTGAAAAAGAATTTTCCCCAGCAGGGTCTGGTGTCTGCTAAGATCTCCCTTTGGGTGTGCTGCCTATGGTGATATTTTGGTTGTGGTCTGATATGGTTTGAAGGTTGCCATGGCATCTTTTGTTTTTGCAACCTCTTGAGAGGAAGTCTGGTGCAGGTCTATGTCAGACATGGCCTGTGACTAGCCCTAGGCTATCTCTTTGCATCTACAAAGTGATCCACAGTTTGTAGCTGCCTCTACTGGGCCTGGGTGTGCATGGGATATGCCAAGCTGGGCACCAAGGCTGACTTCCACTAACATTGTACCTGGGAACAGGTCAGTGAAAGGCCCAAGGCACCTCGAGATCCACCTCTACCTGTCAGCTGCTCATTAGGCTCAGTCACTTAAAGAGCCTCTGGTGGTATGTGAGTTGTATGAGGTAGGTTCCCAGTGTGTCACCAGGTATGGGAGACTGGCATTCACTACATTTATTCTGATTCAAACTCAGTGCTGGTACTGGGTCTGAGGCCACTCAGCAAATGTCTCAGGACACATCAAGGCTAGCTATCACCCACTGGGTGCCCTCAGACTTTGTGGTGAGGTAGAACCTCTGGGAGTTATCAGGGTGAAGCTAGAAGAGTTCATCAAACCCCAAAAGACCACGATTTAGCCTTGTGAAGGGAGAATTGTACACAGGAACAGTGGAGCCTCTGGGTGTATGAGGGGAAAATGGCTCTCTCACTAGAGAAGTACAACTCAGTATCTCCAGTTCTGTCTGGACCTCTTCAAGAGCCTTCCTAGGAATTCTATACCATGGGCTCAGGCTGGCCACAGCTAACTGATAGTTCTGTAGGGGGTGACCTTCCAGGGCAGTGCCACTGATAGGATGATGGGTCTAGTGGATCTCCCATGAGGAGGTCAGTGCTGATCAGGCACAGAGGCAAAAGTGACTCCCTCCTCAGAGCCAAACAGCTTCATCTCTGACATCCTCTGGGTCAGCCTGGACCTTCTCAGGAGCCCTCCAAGAAAGTCTACACCACAAGCCCAGGCAGCTGACTCCTCTGCAGGGTATGAGATTGGCAGGGTGGGTGACAGGGAATTGAGAGGGTGGGACTAATGCATTCCTCCAGGCTGATGCCACATGGGGTGGAGTGCTTGCCCCAGCAGATATTGTCCATGGGTGGTGTGGGAGAGGAATCTATCACAGGGACCTTGGCAAATGTCCCTTCACCTGTCTCCCTGGAGCCAAATAACCAGCCTTTCCTTGTATAATTTCAGTCCACTCCAAGTGGCCCTCCCTCTGCTGGAGCCCAGGGTGAGTGGTTGAAAAAAGATTTTTTTCACTGGCCCTTTAAGGGGGTACCAGGTTTTCTAGCAGACTCCTGTCCTTCCCTGGTAGACAGAATCGCTGCTGATTTTCACAGTCAGATGCTATGTGGGTTTTTCTTCCTGGTTCTGGTGCTCTGGGCTGAGGATTCCAGCATGTAGTTTTGATCTCATTCTTCTAAGGAAAGACCTTTTCAGCTGAGTGCTTCCAGATTCTCAACCACAACAGATGGGTGTGAGGCCAGCCCTTTTGCTCTCTGCCCTTCCTACCAGTCTCAGTGTGGCTTCTGTATATCCTTGGTTATAAGACTTGTGTTCAGCTGGTCTTCAGTTGGTTATTCAGGTTTATTTTTTTATAATTTAGTTGTAATTCCAGTTTGGTCCTGGGAGGAGGTGCACCTACTTTGCTGCCATTTTGGATCCTTAATTTATATTCTTGAAAATGTTTAAGTTTTATGTCTCTAAGTTATATCTTTGTAGATTATATCTATGTAGATTCATCACTATCTAGTTCTATCTTGTCATTGATTACCTTTTTTACTTTCTTCCCCTAAAACAAGATTTTCTCAAATTCTACATTCTCTTTACTTAAAAAAATTTTTTTTTGCCCTGGGTGGTTTGGCTCAGCGGTTAGAGTGTCGGCCTGTGGTCCAGAGAGACCCAGGTTTGGTTCCTGCTAAGGGCATGTACCTCAGTTGCAGTTTGTCCTCGGTCCTGGTTCGTTGTGCAGGTGGCAGCCACTCGATGTGTCCCTTTCACATCGATGTCTCTCTCTCTCTCTCTCTCTCTCTCTCTCTCCCTCCCTCCCTCCCTCCTGCTCTATCTGAACAAAAAATGAAAAAAATTGTCCTTGGATGAGGATTAAAAAAATATTTTTTTTAAATCAATTTTAGAGAGAGAAGGAGAGAGAGGGAGCGAGAGATAGAAACATCGATGAGAGGGAACATCGGTTGGTCATCTCCAGCATGCTCCCCCTACTGGGGATTTGGCCTACAACCTGGACATGTTCCCTGACTGGGAATCCAACTGGCGACCTCTTTGCTGCATGGGTTGATGCTCAACCACTGAGCCACACTGACTGGGAAATATATACTCTTTAATCTTCTGTCTTATAACTTTTATTTATCAATTCACCTCTTGTAGCTTGGATACATGGTAGCTGGGAGCCAAGTTTAGGTAAATTGCATTTTTAAATCACTACTTAGATGTCTCTGTTGCTACGCTTTATTCCTGAAAATACTAGAGAAATATATATTACCAGGTGTTTTATTAACAAATGGGAGATAGGATCTAAGCCATTTAGATGTGTTCCTATTGTTAGAACATTGTTTTTCCTTCTTCGACATTAACGTAGTAATTAGGAAATTACATTTTATTTTCAATCTCCCTTAATTCTAGAGCAAGGACATTGAGTATAGAAAACATGAAAGAAATGGAATTTAAAGTGAAGACAGAAATGGATAGCGTAAGTTTAACTTTTTCTCCTTTGTGCAATTACTAATAATTTTTGTCATTAAGATAGTTTTAAAATATCATTAAGAACAGATAAATTGACATTTAAAACCATTATAGTTGTATTTTTAATAAGTTTGAGCTTAAAACTGTATATATGTGACCACCATATATATATGGCAGTTGCCATGTAGCAGATCAATAGAACAATTACAACAAAAAAACTTGTATTAACATTCATATAAGATAATAGAACTACAGTCCACAGTAGCATCATAGTCCAGACTAATTTGGGCATTTGGAAACCTCTTTTGCATTACTCAATTTATAAAACAGTCAAACTAAACTAATAGCAAATTAAATGATGAAGGAAAATAAAGAATAGAAAAGGGAATATGGCAAAGTAAGATCATGGTATGTTTTTTGTGTTTTTGTTTTGTTTTGTTATTAATACACACTGAGATTGTAATATTAGCAGATGGTAACTAGTTCCAGTGGTTATTGAATGCCAGTAGAATCAGTTCTTACACAGTGCACACTTTAAAAAGTCAAACTTATTTGTCTTGCCCTGTTCATGATTATCAGGCCAGTTGGGGTTTTGTTCCAGATTTTTTATTCTGAGGGATGGCTAAAGCAAGTTTAAAGTGAGAAAAAAAAAATGTTGCCTTGAATTTTTTGCTAATTGGCTTCATTTTGAACCTGTTTTGTAAATGTTTGGCTGACCTTTTATTTCTTTACTTTTTACATTTACTTGTTCCAGTACCTCATGATTACCCTTAGAACAGAGAGAGCTGGCCTTCCACCAGCAGGACTAACGTCAGGGTATTTTTGAATATACTGAAAGTAAGAAGTAGCAGCAGGAGTCCTTCTGGGGCACCCAGGGGGATGTTGTCTTCACTACGTCTGAAAAGATTTGCCTCACAGAGAGCTTTCTAAGTGCAGAGCCTTTGAGTATCCCAGTGTCAACGTTTCCACCAATATTGCCTTGTTTTTCTTTCTTTACATTTATGTAGGAATTTAGTGCTTATACCAAGTCCCAGATTGACTATTGGGCTCCTAAAGCCCTCTATGTACCTACACCAAACATACAGCCATATACGTGAGCCTTGGCATTCTTAGCTTCGAAACAGAATTGGAGTTTGATTATTTTTTAGCTTAGATTACCGGTTGATAGATTCTGTTGAATATGTACCTTCTCAGGCTAAACACAAGGGGAAGTGAGCAAAGTAGGGGGATGAAAATACCCCAAATTTCTCCAAGACTTTAAATTTTTATTGGTTACACTCCAGTCACACACGTAACTAAAAACTGTGTCGTATAAAAATCTTAATTTTATTAAAATATTACACCTTACTAGTTACTTAATGTTTGTATCAAAAATGAGAGGGGGGAAAATCCTAAGAGTGTAGTTTGAATGTGAAATTTTAATTAAAAAAAATGTTTTTTGTTGATTAATTTTAGAGAGAGAGAAGAGAGAGGGAAGGAGGGAGGGAGGGAGAGAAAAAAAGAGAGAAATGGTGATTTGTTGTTTTACATATTTATGGATTCGTTTGATTCTTGCATGTGCCCTGACCAGGGATTAAATCCTTAACCTTGGTGTATCGGGATAATTCTCTAATCAACAAAGCTACCCAGCCAGGGTTAAACTAATTTAAAGTTAGCTTGATGGCAATATGTCATTTATCTCTTGCATTCATGCATTCTTCCATATTTTATTTTTTTTTATATGAAACACCCATTCTCAGTTTGGGAAACTTCTTCCCACTCAATGAATTGAACCCCATTGAGAATTTGTTTTCTGGCACAATTTGAATCTTTATTCTTTAACAAATACCTATCTTTAAAAAATGTTAACTTAAAACAATATATTGACACAATCATCTGGTGTGATTGGTGGGTGGATCTAAGATGAAGACTTTTGTAATAACTGAATGCGACAGGCTCAAGAATTGTTTATTTTTGGTTTGTAAGACATTTACTCTTGATTAGAAGTTGGTTTGGTAACCTAAGTCATTTTGTCTTCTTGAGTTATTTATAACACATCTGTTTATTTCCTAGAGTATAATTAGTTGTACAGCTATAGAAACTTTATGAGATAATCTAGTTTAAATATTTACCTAATTTTAAATATGAGAAAACTGAGACAGTTTAAATGAATTGTCCAAAATTCACATACTTAATATTTTCTTTCTTTCATCTGTCTTTCTGTGCATGGAAGCTTCGCTATTCTCTGCGTCTCTTCTGTGTAAATACTAAAGCCTGAAGGAGTAATGCTTTATTTAATTGGTAAGGAGTGATCATTTCATAGAACATCCATCCTCTGAATTTCTAGGTCTGACTCCTGTCCCAAAGGACATGGAGAAGATGGTTTTAGTTACACACCATCAATTGCTTCCAGAGAGACCTGGCAAACGGCCAAAACAGATACCTTTTATATGGAGACTTTTCCTTCTTGTTTTCTGTGTGCTTTATCGTTATCCTAGCAATCCAGGGCCTAGGCCTGCCCATAGTGAAATTAAAGTCCTCTAGGTTTCTTTCTCTCAATCAGGACTATCGATCACTTTTAAGGTAATATGCCAGCCAAAGGGAAGCTATGTCATTATGAGGTAAATGACTGACAGCTTGAGCCTTCAGGACCTATTTTTGTTTTTTAAAATATTCATGGTTAAGTAAATGGGTGTTTGATTTTTAGATTGAGTAGAAAAGATGCTTTTGGAAGGATAAGTCTTCCGGGTACTCTGGATATTCTAGGCTGTTGCAACCCCAAAACCAAGTAAGTAAGGGTAAGAGCCATTTTCTAAAAGCTTTAGACTCATCTCATTGTTACTAATGTTTCTCAGTGAAGAGAAAGTACATATTTTTCCTAAGAAACATGATAGTATATTAAGTTCTCCAAAAACATTTTAATAATGAAACTGATAGCTAAGAGATTGCTTCTATGATTGAACGACATTTGAACTTGTAAGACTGAGATTCATTGGATAGAGTTATCTTTTTATTTTTATACTATTCAGGACACTGAATCTAATCCATTTCTCCTCCAAAAGGAAACCCTGCAGCAGATAAAAATTATCTCAATAAACAGCCCCCTTGTTTTTCTGAATGCAAAGAAGTTTCATACTGACTTAATAAATATAATCCAAAAAGAAAATGCCAGCAACCAGCCACTTGATGATACCAGCAAGGTAAGATAAACTGTTTCATGATGTTAATGTCACGATACAGGTAACCTTATATCATGATATTAAAAAAATGCATCACATAATTATAATACATTATAAAAGTATACAGAGACTGTTCCCTCTGCAAAACCTTATATTGTGTTATTCTTTTTATTTGGTTCTGACAGCTCTTAGGTCATCACTCTCACTTGTTTATTTTTTCTTCCATTTGTTCATTCATTCATTTATATATACATTCATGCAGCATATATCTAATGGACATGTGTACTGGGCACTATAATCTTGAGAAGAATAAGTAAGACAAATTACTTAAATTAACAGACCATTTTACCAAGAGGAAGAAGAATTAGATCTAACAGATAGAAAATATGATAAATGACTCAGAAAAGCATAAACTATTGCCATTACTATATCATTATTATAAAATGCTAGCATTCTTTATCCCCATAACTTATCTCAATTAATAGAGATAGTAAATCAAATATGCATTGAGATGTGCCAGGTAAATGAGCCATCTGCAATCATTTGAAGTTGTAAGCCCTCTGCAATGTTAAGAACATGGACTTTGGGATTAGGCTGCCTGGGTTAGCTGTGGGGCCTTAGCCGGATTATCAGATCATTTATGCGTTTTTCCTATTGGTAATCAAATAAAATAATGAATTAATGTATGCAAAGTAATTATCACAGTGCCTGGTCTATTCAATACTATAAATTTCTAGCTAGTATTATTAGTTCTATTTAGTGCATCTAGTACCCTCTCCATGAAGCTCTCACTGACTACTTTAGATAACAAAGATCTCTCTCTTCTCTTGTATCCTTGAGCATGTACCATCTCCCACTCAGGTACATTCCCATTTCTGGTCTTTCAAGGGCTGTCCATGACCACATTGCTGCTTCATGCAGCTTTCTGATTCTGCCTCTGGCCTCATGCTGTTTCATACCACAGAGGCCCGAGATACAAGATCAGATATGAACTTTTCGGGGAAAGACAAAATGAATATGTGAGATTCCTTGTAAAATTACTATTTATTTATTTATTTATTTATTTATTTATTTATTTATTTATTTATTATTTTTATTGATTTTAGATAGAAAGGAAGGGAGAGGGAGAGAGAGACAGAAACATCGATGAGAGAGAACTTCGGTTGGTCCCCTCCTGCGTTACCCCCCACCCCCCGCACTGGGGATTCGGTCCACAACCTAGGCATGTGCCCTGACTGGGAATCAAACCAGCAACCTCTTGGTGTATGTGTCGATGCTCAACCATTGAACCCCACTGGCAAGGCTCCTTGTAAAATTGTTATTAAGAGTTTTAAGATGGTGACAGCAGAGCATTAAACCAAATGTGAGAGACCCTTTTAGACGTGGAGCCCTGTGTGACTGCAGGGTCACAAGTCCATAAAGATGACCCTGTCTGTGTATCTCCAGACCTGTCTTTACCCCTCACTGTGCTCTTTAGAATATCACTTTCATCAGAATGTTAAGAACCACCACCTGTGGTTATGGATTGAGAAGAACTTGCTCTCATGTCAAAGGGGGAGATACATTTCTGTTTGTTGAAGTTGGGCAGTAGGCCTATTTCTCTCACAAAGCCATGTATACCTCCCAGTTATGTTAAACTGTGCCAGGAGAGCAGTAGGTTCTTGTGGCAGATGTCAAGCTCACAACCGCCACGCAAAGCAGTATTGTGGCAACATTTGTCTAGAGTTTCCAATAACTAACCTGCAAGAAATTTGAGGTCTTATTTTACTAAAATGTAAATTTACTTTTTGAAATTATGTATTACTTTATGGGTTTTATCATATCTAGTGAAATATCGGGCATGAAGATTTGTATAACTAATTATTTACTAAAAGCCAAATATGTTTTCCTTAGAATATATTCCTGTAGGACTAAGGTTGCTCCAACTTGTTTTCAGAAATTAAAAATTGGCATGTGTTTTTTATCTTGTAAAATGTCAAGTCACAAATAAACCTCATTAAGACAGCCTTCTGTGAAGACGCTCCACATATATAATTTTATTTACATGGGACCGGAAATTTGAGTCTAGTAATCAATCAGAGTTCATGGAATTTAGATTATTGGTAGGTTACAACATCCAAAAGAGTATTTAACTCCAACTTTATGATGGTGAGAAAGAATTCATTGAAAATGAGTTTCACTATAATGAGAATAACGCAAACATTGTATATATCTGCATGCTGTGAATTTTAAAGAACACAGCAAGGATTCGGATAGCCATCTGGAAGCCTTGGTCTCAGCGGAACTGGGATAAACCCATTTTCAGCATGGTTACATAGATGGCATTAGGTAGTATGGATGTTCTCTTGGGTATCCCATATTATTCCGTTACACAATGTCTGGGATGTCTGCTTGTTTTAACGCCTACACACTTAATCTAAATTGTTTTAGAGTAATGAGTCTGCATCAATTAATCTCTGCTGGGGTGTTGCCTCCTTTCATTTGGCTGTGCACCGTGGCCTACAGTTCTGTCTTGAAATAAAGTGCTCTGCCTAGCCTTGGTTTTCTCTTCTCTGACAGCTGCATTTTCAACAGATAGTGATGATAGAAAGGCATTTAAAATACCCCAGGACAGGAAGAATCATATTCTATGAAACAAACTGAAATAGGATCCCTTTTTGTCATACTGTGGTGATATTACTCTGTGTTTATCACCATTAAAATTCTGCCTGAATGCAGAAGGTTAGGAGGATCTCAGGCTACCAGTGTTTGATGGATTTGTGTAGACTTCAGATATTCACTAATGATATTAATCATCTTTTTTTTTTTTTTTTTTTCCATTTTTGGCCTCACTTTGCAAGATAAATTTCAATCTTCTGTTTATTCAAAATTTTATTCTGCTCAGAGGAGGTTTGATTATTTGTTCTTAGTAGACTTCATTTTTTTTTTTTGAACAGTGTTAGATTTACAAAAAATTGAGAAGTTAGTATAGAGAGTTCCTATACACTCTACACCACGCAGTTTCCTCTATTAACATCTTTCATTAGTGTGACATTTATTGCAATCAATAAATCACTACAGAGTACATTATTATTATTATTAAAATCCATGCTTTATTCAGATTTCCTTAGTTTTACCTAAAGTCCTTTTTCTGTCCCAGGATTCCACCCAGAATATCACATTACATTTAGTTGTACTGTCTCCTTTGGTTTCTCTTGGGTGTGATAGTTTCTTGGTCTTTCTTTCTTTCTTTCTTTCTTTCTTTCTTTCTTTCTTTCTTTCTTTCTTTCTTTCTTTCTTTCTTTCTTTCTTTCTTTCTTTCTCTTTCGACTTTGACAGTTTTGAGTAGTACTGGTCAGGTATTTTGTAGAATTTCCCTCTATTGGATTTATCTGATATTCTTCTCACTGAAAGACTGGGGATATAAGTTTTAGAAGGAAAACTAGGCAGACAAAGTGCCATTTTTATCACATTATATCAAGGGTACATACTACCAACATGATTCATCACTGTTGATGTTGATTGACCTTGATGACTAGATGAGGTAGGTAGTGTTTGTTAGGCTTCTCCACTGTAAAGTTATACTCTATTTCCCCCCTTTCCATACTGTGCCCTTTGGAAAAAGTCTCTGAGTACAGTCTCTGCTTCAGGAATAGAGTCATTTTTTACCTCCTTGTAGTTGGAATACTTAGATAAATTATTCAAAATTCTTCAGCATAGAATATTTCAGACAAAGTACTTTTAAGATTAGGAAAAGGAAACTCACATTCATGAATGTCTTTCATTAGCTCGTCCCTTTTATTGGGCTAACTTAATCATCACCAACCCCATGATGCAAAACAACCTGCTGGAAATTATGAGATAACTGTCAGAACCAGACTTAAAATATATAAGGTGCACCACTGAGTATCTAGAAGGGAAAATAATTAGATGTTGTGTAATCAGTCTCTAAGATAAAAACTGATTTCACAGGAGAAATAGTATAATTTAATAGTTTATAGCATGAGGTTCACCATGTAAAGGCATGAGCTTAGGTTTAGCTTTATGACTTTGGTTAAGTTATTTAATCTTTCCAAAATTTAGAAATTTTAAAATTTTCTATCAAAAGTGAGATTAGTAACTTCATAGGATTGTTCTGAGAATTAAATGATTAATGTAAAGTCATTGGAATACAGTAAGTAGTCAAGAAATATCAATTGTCATCATTAACAATATTAACAGTAATACTTTTTTTGAGAAGTGGATAGCTTTAGAGCATCAATTATATTTAATTTTAAGTTTAATTGTAGGATACAGAGTCATTTTTATTCTTTAGCATTTTCATAAATCAGGACTGTTTCTCAGGCATTTTCATTGATCTTCAGATGAATAGTTAACTTTTATATAATATGAAATATGTGGTTAGTGACTTTCTCTAAAAGAATGCTGTGTTAATGAGGTTACTTTATGATTGGATATACTACATGAAAATGTTTAATTCATGGTCAAAAATCCAAACAAACTTAGTCTTGCATAAAATATTCTAAACAAGATTGTCTTACTTGATAACACAAACTATCTACTGAACGAACTTATACTTAGAGCTAATTATCATCTTATTATTTCAGTTTGTTGTATCTGAAATAAATAGATGATGGAAATTTATTATTGGAGGCTAATGTTTTGTTATTTATGGAGAAAAGAATAATGTACTTTTTTTTCAGGGAGGGAAATGAATTTTTGTAATATTGTTATTTTTTATATTTGTTTTCATTTCAGTGCGAGCAAAACACATTGCTAACTTCTCTATCCAATGGCAATTGCAATGGTGAGTTGTTTTAAAAAACTAAGTGTTCTGACTTGAATATTCACCAGAGAATAATAACTTCTTCCCCATCTCCTCTCTCTGCCTTCCTCCTCTGTCCTACTCCTTTCTCTCCTCCTCTTCTTCCTTTTCCCTCTGCTCTCCACCTCCTCTTCCTTCCTCCCACTTTCTCCTCCTGTTATTCTCTGTTCCCTGCTTGGTCCTTCCCTTCTCCCTCCTCCCCCTTCCCTTCTTCTTCTTGCCTTTTCTCTTCTCCTCTTCTTTGTCTTCTTTGTCTTCGTCCTGCTATTCTTGCCTCTTGCTCACTTTTAGAAGTAAATTTAAGTAAAGATGTATAAATCTACATAGGACGAAGATGTAAAACTTTATTACAAGGCAATAAAAATACCCGAAACCCTTAAATATATGGTATTTATAAATAGACAAAGGGGAATACCATATCCATTGGTTAGAATACTCAGGATGAAAAACAGATCAGTTCTTTTTTCTTTCCATTTTGTTTGTCAACTTATTTTGTCCATTAGATTCCACAAATAAGTGAGATCATGTGGTACTTGTCTTTCTCTGACTGGCTTATTTCGCTTAGCAAAGTACTCTCCAAGTCTCTCCATGCTGACTCAAAGGGTAAGAGATCTTTCTTTCTTACAGCTGCATAGTATTCCACTGTGTAATTGTACCACAGCTTTTTATCCGCTCATCTACTGATGGGCACTTGGGCTGTTTCCAGATCTTGGCTATTGTAAATAATGCTGCTATGAATATATATATATATATATATATATATATATATATATATAATTTGAAATTGGTGCTTTGGGATTCTAGATAGAAATTTAATCTCAATAGGACAATTTAATGGCAATTGACAAAGTCATTCTAAATTTTGTATAGAAACTCAAGTGACCAAGAATAGACAAAACTCTTAAAATATATGAATGAGAGCGGTAATGTTTTCTTAGTCATCAGGATGTATTATTAAGCTCTAATAATTAGTGCAGTATGGTATTGGTTCATAGATAAATGAAGAGATCAAAAGTCAAAGTAGAGCTTAGATGGACAAAAAATCCCACATACATTGGTGTTTGATTTGTGACAAAAAGTGGTACTGCAGAGCAATGAGATAAAGGCAGTCTTGCTAGTATATAGTGATGAGACAACTGTGTGTCCATCATAAATGAAAGTAGACCTCCTTTCTCTCATACCATACCCCCAGTTCAATACCAAGTGAATCAAAGGCCTGAGAGTGATAGACAAAATATACATTTAGAAGAGAATATATATAAGAACTGCAAAGCATTAATCATAAAGACAATGTTTATTAAACTTCACTAGATTATTTATTAAGAGCTTTTGTTTACCAAAAAGCACCAAATAAAGCATGAAAGATAAGCCAGAGTGAAAGAAGATAGATGTAACATCTAAAGTGGAAAACTAGCCCTGGCTGGTTTGGCTCAGCGGTTGGAGCGTCGGCCTGCGGTCCTGAGAGACCCGGGTTCGGTTCCCGCTAAGGGCGCATACCTCGGTTGCAGTTTGTCCCCGGCCCTGGTTGGTTGTGTGGGTGGCAGGCACTCAATGTGTCCCTTCACATCGATGTTTCTCTCTCTCTCTCTCTGTTCCTCTTTCTCCCTCCCACTCTACCTGAACAAAAAATGGAAAAATGTCCTCGGGTGAGGATAAAAAAAAAAAAATAAAGTGGAAAACTAATTGCTCTCCCCAAGAAATCAGGTAGTAAGAAGACAGATGGTCCAATAGAATATTAGGCAAAAGACATGAACAAGCATTTCTCAAAAGGAGACATTTTCAGTTTTACCAATAAATATATTAAAATATGCCTAACTTCACTATTATTATTCATAATAATTACTGGGGAAATATAAGTATATATATATAAAAATATATATATGGTAAAAGTGTAAAAGGCTGACAATGTTAAGGGTCCCTGAGGATGTAAGGCAACAAGAAGACTCTCATAATGCTGGTGGGAGTGTAAACTGTTACAACCACCTTGGAAAGCAGTTTGACATTATAGAAAGTTGAAGACACACTTACCATGTGGCCAGCAATTCCACTTCTACTTATACATCCTAAAGAAATGGGAGTTTTTATGTACAGCAAATTACACAAATAAGAATGTTCATGCAGTATTGTTTGTAACTGTCCCTATCTAAAAACAGCTCACAGTTCACAAAAAGGTAGCAGGTATATAAAAACTGTGTTTTATTTGATGCATTTATTATTATAGTTATACAAAAGTGAAAATTAGATGAATCTTGTAAACATAATTGGGAAAAAAGCAAGACAAAAGAGAAAATTTTATAATTCCAATTTCATTGACAAAATAACAAAAAAAGCTAAGCTATATTAATTTTTGCACTTCTAAAGATGATAAAAAGGAATCTTTTAATATTTGTACCTGGAAACCTATAAATATTGCTCATAGTAGCATTTTTATATAATTTTCCCAAATCTGAAAACTACTAAAATATCTACTAACAGTGCAAGAATAAGTGAAATGTTTATATGAGAATAAAAGACCTATTATAATATTTATTATATTATTGTATATAGTATGTTTTAAATAAATGTATAACATACAGAATAAAATAAATATTGTATAAGTAGATGAATCACTTACATGATCCATATCAACATGAGTGCAGCTCAGACATTAGCTTCTCTGTTTTTTTCTGACTTCTTATGGCAAATTTACTTTATACTTTCTTGTGCACTAAAAGAATGCGTATATGATACTGTAAGCATTCTGTAATAATGTACATATATGTAATATAGTACTTATATAACAATAATTTCTTTTTTTAAAATGTTTTTATTGATTTTAGAGAAAGAGGTAGGGAGAGAAACATGAAACATTGATGCAAGAGAAAAGCATTGACCGGTTGCCTCCTGCACATGCCCCGACCAGGGATTGAACCCACAACCTGGGCATGTGTCTTGACTAGGAATCGAACCCACCACCTACTGGAGCACAGGCCAATGCTCAACCAACTGAGCCACACTGGCCAGGGCTATAATGATCATTTCTTGAGTGCCATACTGTCCTGACAATCTGAAAATGTTTTCAGGGCATTTTTACCTCTCAGTGCTAGACAAGGCCCACTTTGCACAAGAAGAGTACCTGATGGGCACTGTCACCTTTGCTGTATTCTTGTGCAACTTTTGGCACCCAGTGGCCCTTTTACAGTGGTCAGAACTGGTTGGCCGGAATATTTCTTCGGCATCCTCTTCTCCCTTCTGAAACTCCGAAGTATCCCGGGTTCTCCCATCTCTTTCTTGTTCAGGAACATTGTCCTGCTTTTACTTCCCTGTGCTTTAAATGTTAAGGTTACATTCACAGTTCTGGTTCTTGGTTTTCTTTCTCAACCCAACTACAGTTTCACTTTCATTACCTGTAATTCTTGGTTTTATTTCCTTTACTTTTTCACTTCTGTGACTCTGATTCTGTCCTTAACCATTTTCAAAATGAATTAGTATGATTTTCTTTTAAAATTATTTTTCTGCTAAGAGACATTCTTGGTTTTATTCCGTGACTAGAAAACACCTCGTTTCCCTTGTTTCCATTAGACATAGCTAATAGATCAGGTCACCTCCTATGACGCAAAGCAGCCTGAGACTCTGCTAAACATGAGGCAGCAGGAAGCTACCGCGAATGGTTGGTGTGGACACCCAAGCTGAGGTGTGATCGCCGGTCCAGCTCTTTCCTATTTGTGATGTCATAACTTTCATTTTATATCATCTTTACTTAAAACTCTTCTTATGCTTAAAAAAATGATAAAGGTTCCCTTCTGAGGATCAAGTGCCTGCTCTTCAGTGTGGCACCTGAAATTCTTCTTTATCTGCACCAACCGTTTTCCCTTTTACTATGCACTGCATGCACCCGCCATGAACTTACACCGATCAGTCAATGACCCTCGACCTCTAATTTAATTATCCCTGGCTCTGAAGCTTTATTTGGATTTCCTTGGATATAACCATCTCCCTTCTTCGCCCATCCAAATCGTATCCTCTTTTCAAGATTTAATTGAGAAGTAAATTGAAAGGACGCAATCTTTGGCAATCCCGTTAAGCCCAAAAATAAGTTAACAAGAGCCATGCAAGGAAGTAGAGAGTCAATTGCGACCTGGAGTTCAGTGTTTACAGCTTTAAAATGGAGAGCATCGTAACAGAGAGACACTTCCGCACCTTTCACTCAAACACACGTGGCCTCCTATCTTTATAGAGTTACTTTTTTATTTGTGCATATTTTTCTCTTAACTCGATTTTAAGGCAAGGGATGCTTTTTTTTTTTTTTTTTTTTTTCCATTTCCATTGCATTATCTTTCATTGTCCAATAAACACTTGGTCAGTAAATGAAAACTGCAGTGATGATATTTGTATAGCATTTGACAGTTTTCAACAGTTTTCTTTTCAATACTTCTGAAAGAGGTAATAGGTAAATACTATACTTTCATTTTCAAATAAGGAATAGTATACTATTCATTTTACTGATGAAAAAGTTGAGGCCCATAGGGGATAGGAACTTGCTCTGGGTCATACAGGTAGGGAACAGAGGCAGAACTAGAGCCCCTGTCACATGCAGACATGCAGACAGACGAGAATGCTTAACACTGGCATTCAGGAGCACTGATCTGAACTAGTCTGCAAGGACACAAGCAAGAAGCGTGGGGTGTTGCAATCCAGAGAAGAGGAGGTGACAGTGCCATCTTCCTCTGGTTTGGTCACAGGGTTTTGAAAATGGGGAAAATGAATAGACTTAAAAGAGATTTCAGCCTGGCCGGTGTGGCTCAGTAGCTGAGCGTCAACCCATGTACCAAGAGGTCGCTGGTTCGATTCCCGGTCAGGGCACATGCCCAGATTGTGGGCCCGATCCCCAGTAGGGGGGCATGCAGGAGGTGGCCAATCGATGTTCTCTGTCATCAATGTTTCTATTTATCTCTCCTTCCTCTCTCTCTAAAATCAATAAAGGATTTAAAAAAAGAGAGAGA